TAGAAGAACATGAACGCGCTCTAAAGTTTGGCTTCACTTTACTAAATGCGACGGGTGATTGGGTGAAGGTAAAACCAGCGACAACGATCTAAGTTTGAGGCATCATCGTTTTAATCTGCTCCAGCAGCTAAATAAACTGTTTAAGATAACGTTAGCTTGATATGTTAGCTTCCATTGCCACCATTGTTATCAGCTAATGGTGCGTTCGCTTTCTCCTCGGAAATTCTAACTTCCCAGTAGGAAAAATCAAATGAAAAAAGACGGCAAAAGGAATGAAGATACACAGTAAATTTAGTTCACAGTAAAGATGTTTGTTTCAGTTTAATTATCAGCTTATAAAACTACAAGGACGATGTTAAAATACAAACAGTTGAATGTTATTTATCGTGATATTTATCAAATATGGTTATATATTGAGAAAAATACATATTTTATTATAAAAGAGAATTAAAATATTAAACACTCAAAAGTGTCTAAAATTGGTACCGTTAAGTACCGGTATCGATTCCTAGGTACCGGGAATTAGTACCGGATCGATTCAAATGTCAAAGGTACCCATCCCTACTGCTAACCCTAAAGCCTTAATAATACTTCTGTGGGGGTATGGAGACAAGCTACGCCGTTATGTGTCAACACAAGGGCTCGGTGACAGGCCTGCACAGGCTGACAGACGCGTGCCAACATGTGTAACCATCTGCTGAAAGCAGCAGCATCTGCAAGCTTGTGGCTGGCCAGGACGCCCCTTCCTGTAAATTTGTCAACAGCGACGCCATTGCTCTCTCCAAAAAATGTTGACGTTTTGCAGACGAGTCCGACAATATGAACGTTAATGCATCCATGACTGAAGGAGTGCAAACTTCTTATTCGTACATGGAAAATACGTGAAATGTGGGTTTAGAGGTGGTGACTGCATGAAGACGTGAAGAATGGGGACAAGTTTGCTTGTCTTAAAAAGTCTTTGAAATACTTGATTTTAAATACAAATAGTAAACACTCTATCATGGACTGGATACCCCAGAAAAGTGCTACGCCCTCTGTTGTCCTGGTGGGGAATTCCTTTGCAATACTCCCCTGGAAAGGGAAAAGTCTGAAAGGAAAACGTCTCAGTCAAAGCGTGTGCGCGACTCCAAACCTAAGCTGACAGAAGAGTATAAATCAGGCTTAGTCCTGGCAGAGCAGAAAGAGGAGAACGTCTGTTTAGACGAAGTGGCCAAGTTCTTAAATTGCGTTCGCAAAAGACGCGTAATCTTTTGGTGAAGTCGGGCCTGAACGTTCAGCACGACAAGAATGAGCTGTGCCAGACATTCAAGAACATTTAGAAACATTTCATCCATCCATCCATTTTCTGAACCCGAAACATTTCTGTCAAGAAAATGAAGATGAAACCGTCTTCAGTAACGGGGTGAGAAGCTGGGGGAGGACATTGCGTTAGATCAGTAATGCAGTTTTAGTTCAGTTTTAACCTCCTGGGGCCAAAACTTGTACTTGGTTTGATTCAGAAGAAAAAACATATCTAGCTATTACAGATTAGTCGACTGTAATTAACAGAAACAAAGTTACAAAAATTATATTTCAATAAAAATTAGTTAAAAATGTCAAATATCCTAAAAAAAAGAAAGACAACAAAAATTGTTTTTATTTAAGTCATATAAAGTGTCTATAAATAATAAAAAAAAGGTCTAAGTAGAAGAGAATAAATTTTTAAGTGCAAGGAGCCAATGTCCACATATGTAAACACAGGGCCCTAGGAGGTTGAAGTCAAATATTTTATTATATTAACTCGTTCACTGCCATTGCCGACTAAAGTCGTCATTTGCATGTTTTACTGTGTGGGCGTCGGACGAGCCCCCGCACCGTGAGAACAAACATCTCAGCTCTAAAGCCGATCTTCATCCGTGTACGTCACACGTCACGTGATCAGGAAGCAGAACATCCATGTGTTAGGAGATCGTTTTGGGCCGTTGCTGTAAAAAAAGTGAGGCGCGAACCGGAAAAGCTTCTGCCGATCACAATTCAACAACGGATTATGAAAGAACGGATAACGCTCGAAATGCGCCGATTCTTCCTGATGTAAGAGGTGAGTCTCCGCTTTGTTTTGGTTGTTTTGGCGTCGACATCATTCTAGCGCGCAACGTTCTGTCACTCTTTAAAAAATCGTAAAAACGCTGAAAAACGCTGGCAGGGAATGAGTTAAAGGGGCCTTATCATGATAAATCCACTTTTTGGAGCTTTTTACCTTGTGATATAGTTATTTCCTCATGAAAAATACCCCCAAACATATTTTGGCTGCATTCATGCATTTTTCTGTCTCAGCTGCAAATTTTCAGATTTTTTTTAGAAAAGCCTGCACAAGCCTCCACGGAAACTAAGCCCCAAATTCCACTACCTCCGCTCCGCTCCGACGCGAACGCCGGAGCAAAATCGGTCCCGTTGTAGCCAATCAGAGCAATTCCACTACTGCGGCCGTGCTCCGGCAGTGCGGCGCCGTGCGGCGCCGTGTGCCGCCCTCTGTTCCGGCGTCCGGCAACAATAGAATCGATTCTATTTTTGCCGGACGCCGGAGCACCTCCGCAGTAAATGGACAGGAATCACAACGGCCCAACAGGAAAGGGAGCAAGCAAAACTTCCGTTTTTCACAATAAATCGATAAACAAAAGGCGTTTTTTGTTTCATATGCACAGGTTTAACAACTTTAAACAACTATCAATGGCGGCTGAAGTTTAAATGCACAAAAGTAAGCCATAAATACAGTTTCTACTATCAAAGTAGTCACACTTTGTTGATCCAAACATTGCTGATCTCTCAACACAAATGATGGGCAGATTAAACAGCTCATGCCGATGCTTCTCCCACACAACGGGTGTTTGGATCTAACTTCTGCGTTTATTGCTCGGACTGTATCGCAAGATCTCGAAAATCCCGCGCATGCTAGTTTGCGCACCTCAGGTCTCCGCACCGGAGCGGAGCCGTTGTAGAGCGGGTACCAGTAAAAATTGAGTTCGGAAGCGAGCGGCTGCGGAAGGCGGAGCGGAGGTAGTGGGATTTTGGGGTAAGTGTGTCATCAGCCATTGCTCCGCCCCCTGAAGCTAGTCTCGGCTCTGGAACCCACCGCCCCTTGAAGTAGACCACTGACGCCCACTTTCTCCTAGTTGTGGGCGTAGAGCGGTTGATTTCATGCTGTGATTGAGAATGCGACCTACCAGAGTGGATATTCTGACTAATTACACAGCTGTTACAACCATGCGTCCCGTCTACAATGATGCATGCAATGGTAGCAAAGGATATGGGAGCTCCAGTTACGAGAACTGTCAGGAGAGGGTTTTTTACTGTCGGTTCATGGAGTCGAATTGTGGAATGGTCTGGGGCTGGAACTGAAGCAATGTTAAAACATCAATCGTTTCACATCCCTTTATAAAAATATTTTTGGTCACTGTAGTGACTATCAAGTCCCACTTTTAGTCACCCTCGGGTGCGGGTGGAGGCAATGACTCGCTTCAACAATATTGTCCAGGCAGAAAGCGGGTTTGGGTTTATTGTCCCATTTATTGAATATGATGACGATCACAAGCTGGGTCCAGAATGGCTATTTCTTGTCCAGGTTTATGTAAATGATGAAAGTTATAACGGCAAATTAGATGTGGCATATGAAACCAAACGAAGCGGTAAAAACCGTGTGACCTCCCGTCACCCAGAAAACGCCAGTGCACTGCCACCTCAACACCTTTATCGGCTCCGCAGTGCCACCAGTGGTCAAAGGAAATACAAACCATAGTGCAATAAACTGAAATGTACATAAAACATTATCAAAATAAACTCAGACCATAATATAATCTAAACCAAAACAATATTGGCTCCTACAGTCACAATACAAAGATGATGAGGTTTCCTAATTTCATATGTTGTCTGAGTAGCCATTTAGCAAATTGCTAGGTTGTGGATGAATAAGAATTTGCATGCATGTGAGATAATGGTGATTATCGTGTTTCTTCAGGTTAGTCATGAATTTTTTTATTTTCCTTTGAGTTGAAATAAGAAGGCAGCCCCTTTATTATTTATTCTGTGTGAATGTCTTAATCTGACAGATTGGGGTGAGGTTTAATAAGTTTTTCTTCTCACTCCAATTTGAGCATTTTTGTTAAAGAGCAAGTCACCCCCCACCAGATTCTTTTTCTCCACTCCCACTTCCTGTTTGAAAAATGCAACACATGCTGTTGCCTAGCAGACCGAGAGGGCAGAGCCGTTAACAAATACACACACAGGCTCACAACGACATTGTGACATCATATGGTACCAGCCAACGTTCTAGGGTACCTCTTAGCCAATGGCGATGGCAGATTTAAATTCAAGTACAGTGCTGAGTTTTTACCTGACAACGAAACAACACTGACAGTTTTAGGCAGAACATTAACATTTTAACTAAAATGCACTAAAGTGCAAAACTATTGACTACACGTGTCTGCAGCACGATTAGACACACATTTATATAGTTTATCAGAAAAAAAAGGTTGATTTGGGGGTGACTTGCTCTTTAAATTTAGACCCAATTGTGCTGATATCTTATTTTTGTAATTTCTGTTGTTAATTGTTTATTTTACGGCACATTACTGGCTCAAAATAAAAATGGAATGAATGAATGAACGAATGAATGAATGAATGTGTGTGTGTGTTAGGCAATCATTGATTTGTAACAAACGTGGTAGTCCAGTGGTTGGAGTAAGTGACTGGTGGTGCTGCACTGAGACAAACCGTCTTATTTCTTGGTATAAATTCAGGATGGCAAATAACTCATATTTAAGATAAATGACATCTCAGTGGTGCCAACGGTAATATTTTATCATCTCTTGTGCCTACCTTTGCTCTCAAAGGGTTAGAAGAGCACGATCTGTTCATAAAGTTGGGATCCAAGACAGAGAAGAACTAGTCAGAAAAGATGCAGAAGTAAATTTTCGAGGCTTCTAAACATTTGTATTCCTGCTTTACTTCAGTAGCAGTCAGTTTGTTAGTCTGCTTTTAGATTCTGCCTGTTTAACAATCACATGACTACAGATTTTCAGTCTAAATTTAATTACTTAGAGCTGTAATCCTTGCATTATCTGTCCTGAATCGGATTTAATTACCAGGAATGCTGCAGAATTCCTACTGCTGTGGAATTTAAAAACCTGAGACTCTACAATTATTCATAATATTGTTTTTTTATTTGACACTATAATGAGATTACACCGTGGATCAGACACATTTAGGTACTATCTAACAGGGTGTATTGAAATAAAAGTGTAACATATCAAATGGTTATAAATATCAGGTATATTTTAGACGCACAAAGGTCACAGCTTGTTCAAATCAGGAAAGAAAACGAGTAAAGTTGTTCTTTTTCATCCAAGAGTTGTCATAAATAAGATGAAATCCTCCTGATGTCCTGTCTCAGGGATGTTGCAGGACTGGTGGGTCTGGCTGCGGTTCTGCTGGGACTCTGCTCCTCACCTGAAAGCCTGTGGTCCATAGCCGCCGCCCCGTGGGGTCTGGTTCTGCTGGGCTGGGTGGGACTGAGGGGTGTCATGCTGTGGAAACGAGGACGCATGCAGACAAACGTCCACACCAGTGCCACGCGTCTCCAGAGTCTGCTCCACAACAGCAAGACTCTGACTGGACTGGCTCGAAAAGCTCTGCGTCTGGTGCAGGAGACGGAAGTGATCTCCAGAGGGTTCACCCTGTAAGTCTGCTTGTTTCTCTCATGCATCGTGTAGAAGCAGGAGGAATTACAACTAAATAGTTTTTACATTTCCTTTATTGGCAATGGGACTCTTAAAGGGGACATGTTATAGCTTGTTTTAAATTAGCTATAATAAGGCAGTGGTTGGCGGGCTTTACAACTAAAAGAGCCATTTTCTTAGTCTCAGCTGATGCAGGACCTTTAGAAAAAGACTACAAAGTCTGAGGAACATCTAGCTTTGCTAATTTGCTTATTGTGATGTCACATAGAAGTTACTAATAACCTAAATCTGATAGAAAAGAGATGGGTGGTGTAAAGGATGGGTCGTTTACATCTTACTTATGAACCATAAAATGTGAGATTCCATAGAAATATGAAACATCAGTCTGATGGATCTTTGACTGTTTTAACCAGAAGATCAGAACTTTTTATTGCAGGGATTAAGCGACACTTCGTATTAACTCCAAGGAAAGAGAGAGAGTCAGGTTTATAATAGTTAAGAAATTTATTTCTACACAATTTAAACAACACTAACTTTAACACTCTGTGTACTGATGGACTAAGGTGGAGTGAGACGTGATGAATGATGATGGTGTGTGTGTGGAATGTTATTATCAGAACCAGCGGATCCGGAGAAGCAGTTAGTTCTGAGTGGGAGTGAATGTTTCGCTCTAAACTTTAGTAGGAGATTTATAACACACATGAAACACCATCTGTCGGTCTACATACCCCAGGGGAAGCCTCCGTTAGATCCAGAATGCCGAGGTCCTCTTGGACCCTCCTTGGTACCGAAGCCGGTAGAAAAGCAGCGGTGCCGACCAAACTAGTCTTGGAATGCTTCCAGGTCACGACAGGTTATCACTGGCGTCTCCGAGACCCTGAAGGGGTCGTGAGGTTGAGCTTTTATTCTGAAGGAGCCGTTGTGGTCAGGTGTAACTTGCAACAGATTTTATCCGGCTTGTCGAGGTTCTTTATGGCTGAAGAGGAAGTCCGGATGGCCGGTCCGAGACTTCTCTAGAACGCTTGAACTAAAGAAAAGGTGGCGTGGGATAGTTTTTATAATTGTCATATTTTGGTTTACTGGCGAATCAGAATTCGACATGCAGAAGAGGGTTTATACAAACACCACAGATAACCCCGCCCAGCCAGAAACGAAGGTTCTGATTGGATCAGACAAAAGGAAATGTGTCATGTGACTTTAGCATTATGTGTCATCAGTGTCTAGTGCAAATGTCCAGGATTATAATAACTTGTAAAATACTACTGATCACAGGATTATAATATCAAGTGTAGCGTTATGGTTTTATGCTCTTTTATGAAAGAGGAACCATGCTACGTATTAATTCGGAATATTAATTCGTCCAGCACCACCTTTGTGATAGAAAACCCATATTTCCTCACGTTACACAAGTAATAACATTGTCATTTCACAGATTGATTGAACATTGGACTCAAGTTATTATTGGTAATAACAAAAGTTGTTGATTATGTGTTTATAAAAATGATTAGTCTTCGTCTTGAGCTGTAACAGAGGTGAAGCAGTTCAGATGAGCAGAGTGCATGAAAGACCTTGGCCACTATCTCATGTAGATTAGGCTGCCTTTATGTCTCTGCTCGAGCAGACGCAGCAGATCATGACCTTTAGGTCAAAAACAGGACATTCATGATGCCTTAGTGGTTTTTATTCACGTTTGGAGTGTCTGTAGCAGAGAGCCGCATGGCAGCACAAACAATACGAGAAGTAAAATTTGCATAGTCCGCTTTAATGTGTGGTTGAGTCCATATTTTAGGCAGCTGCAGCCTTTGAGTGATGTGTATGGTTCTGTTCATGAGTGACAGCGTGTACTTCGACCGTTGCACATATATAAGTTATACAGCCGAACCGAACCTGGCTCTGCTATAATGTTCTGTAAAGCTAAGCTAGTTCAGGCTGCTTTATGTACGTTTTGTCGTCACACCTGTCTTGTTTCGTCTCAGTGTTTCTGTCATTGTGATCAGTGTTTTGTGTTTGCCCCCCCTGCTCTTCGGGACGTCTCCACAGTTGTATCACATTTCACTTGTCAAGTTTGCTCGACAGGGTGAGTGCGGCCAGCTCCTTTAGCAGGGCGGGTCCAGGGACGGTGCCACGCAGCCAGCAGCTGATGGGACTGCGGAAGGTCCTGTACCGGGCGCTCCGCTCGGCCTTCAGAGCCTCGCGTAGGGCCACCTGTCACATGCTCAAGGCATATCCTTTACCGGGGAAAAAAAATAAAGCTACTCAAATGACCGTTTGTTCATGGTCATGTGACCTCTTTTGAGTTACGAGTGACTCCCTGACGATTAAAGCTGCATTAGTTGGTAGTTTCTGCACATAAACGTGGTAACTTATACTTGACATCATGACTAAAAGTAAATGTGCATGAGTTGGAATAGGGTAGTTTAACTAACCTACTGCAACTCGTAGCTGAGAAAACATCGTTTTAGTCTCACAGCTGTTATTAAAGGTGCAGTATGTAAGAATATAGCGAGAATTTTACAGAAGAGTCTTAATGTTTCAGTCATTTTGGAAGGAAGGTTGTACTGAAATATATTTCACATCCGGCTCCAAATGAAGGAGAGTCGTAACTACTGTTTACCATCAGCGAGTGTGGGGGTCGCCGTGTCTCCTGCGAGCCAATGCTGCAGCACTGATAGTTGTTTAAAGTGGCTGCAGTTGCCAAATTTGACCTCATGATGTCATTTTTACTTCATTCTCACATAGTGCACCTTTAAGCTAAAACACGAGGCTTGTTCTGTGATGTCAAGGCTGGAAATCCAAGATGAAAGTCCGAGCTGATGATTTAAAATAATTTAAAAGGACAAACGAGCAGAGGTGTGGACTCGAGTCACATGACTTGGACTCGAGTCAGACTCAAGTCATTATTTTAATGACTTCTGACTTGACTTGATAAAATCTATAATGACTTACAGCTTGACTCGGACTTGAACGCCAATGACTTGTGATTTGAAACGACTTGCATCTGTTGACTTGATGATGACTTGAGCATGTTTGATATTTTAGAGCAAAAGTGGCGCAACATGGACAAAAATCATAAATGATTCTTGGTTCTGGGTTTGATTTGCTGCTAAATGCAGCAGCTCTTTGTTTATAATCTGTTTCAGTTGCACTTCCTGCTGTTTGAGCAGATAAATGAAGCTTCTGTAACGTCCAGAAAGGGTCAAGTTTCATCTATATTTTGACCTACATGGTGACCCTTTAATCCACAGGATTAAATCAACTTCTGTGTGTTTTCTAATCTTCTGAACCAAGAAAGGTTCTACAGTGCTTGTTGACATTCCAGGACACGAGATTGTAAACAAAGAGTTCTTCCCCAAGGTCTTCGGACAAAAGCTTTTCCCTCATCTCAGACTGCTGGATTTCTCACAGAATAAAAGTGAACTGTTAAAATAATGAAGAATGAACAATATGGTTAAATGAAATATTTGAATCACCTGTGCTAAATCTAGTAAGCTGAAATGAATATCGTTCTTGCAAATGATCCATTTATCTCATTATCAGTATACTTGACGTGACAAGTTAATCAACCATACTCTCATACACATACAACACAAGGTTAAAGGTGCATTATGGAAGTCTGACAGCCAAAACATGTATAGAAATAATAAATGTCTTCTTCATACATTCTCCTGCAATGCCCTGGTCCTGTAGAATGAGCCCTGGCATTTTTACTGTGATTGCCTGTTTTTCTGTAAAATCACAGAAAAAGAGAGATGCTCGGGTCGAGCAGGCTGCTTCATGCGCGTTCACGCTCAGGCATCGCCCGTAGCATTTGCTATCCGTAGCTTTAGCAGCAGAGAGAGAGGCAGTGCCACTTTGTCGCTGTTCCTAACGCCTAGTGACAAAGCTAGCTACATTTCTGAGGACCCTTAGCTACTTTCTGTAGAACTTTCTTCTAGATATTTCCTGCTAATTAGCAACAAAATAGCCATTTTCACTCCGAACCGTTCTTTGTTTCAGCTGTCATCAAGGATATAAATGTTACTAGAGTGTAGCTCACCTAGTAAGACGTCGGACTCTCATGCAGAAGACCTGGGTTTGGTTCTGGATGTGAACATAGTTCATTTAGAGTTTCTTTTTTACATTAATGGTATATTTTTTACAGTAAGATGCCCAAATCTTTATTTGAGACTCGCCGAACGGCATTGAATTCACAGATAAAAAAGATGTGGGTTCAACTTTCATTTTGGAACAATTTTTCAAGCAAGGGAAGGGAATGATCTGAGCATGCAGGAGGACTGACCCATCATAAACCTTTGTCGGCTGTGCTGAAGAGAAAGCTACAGAACCACATTATTTAATTAATTAGCTGCACGTTCTCCTGTCCTTCGGGCCACACACACACACACACACGGGACTGTCTCAGCTGTTATTTTCGTTAAGGAGTGTGCACGTACAGCATGCGCGCCTCGTGCACGAGCCTACTATTGAAGCTGCCGTTATGCTTTTGGCCTGAGGGGGCAATCGCGAGCATAAAAAATTCAAAACTCCGTAAAGTCTCTTTAAAGTTAACGTCACTGCACATAAAGATTCGTTATCCACAGAACTAGAACATTCTTGTGTCTGATGAAGGTGTGGTTCTGAGGGATGTTTGGTAACGCCGACGGACACGTCAGATTCTGATTCGCCAGAATCATAACATGGTGGTAATAAAACAGAATTTACTTCCCGATTAACTCAGTTTCCAGCTGACGCCTCGATTTGGCCAAGTCGGGGAAAAAAAGCCTTTTTGAAACAACCTGCTTTGAACTTAAGTCAAAACCTTGCCACAACGTCCAGAGCCACTGCAACTCTCAGACATCCGTCTTAGACGCAACGAGCCTTCCTGCCTGTTGTGACCCGGAGACATCTCTACACTGGAACTGCTCGTACTGCGGTTATTCTGCGATTCTCGGTGCCTCGAGGTCTACCACGACTTCCTGACATTCCAGATCTGCTGGGGGTCTCCGATCAGGGTTCGTAGACGCATCAGATTGCGTCTGATGCTGTTTTATGAATAATCAACTCTCTAGCTTATAGCAGCCCACAAAATTCTTTGCACCCAGAATTCACAATCTCTTTCAGAAACAAAGGTTCTGAAATACGTCTTCTTTACACCATCATCACACATCATCATTCATAGCTTGTCGTGTTTTATATTTAGTCTAGAAAATAAAGTTTATTTTAATTGTATACTTGTCTGAATTAATACGAAGTGTGTTTATGATCCTTGAATAAGCGAAGAATCCTAAACTCTTCTGGTTAAACGTTCAAAGATCAATCAGCTTGATATTCTGTATTTATATAGAATCATCACATCTTATTGGTCAGAATTTAACCCCCAACCTCGTCACAAAACTACACAACACTTTATTTCTGGAATTAATTTATTATCATTGTCATTAAATTGAAGTTTGACAGATGACTTGATTATGACTTGAAAATTCAAAGTTAAGGACTTGGACTTGATTGTCTTTGACTTGGACTTGACTGGAAAGACTTGTGACTTACTTCTGACTTGCAAAGCAGTGACTTGGTCACACCTCCGCAAACAAGTATTAAATATGAAATGGCAGACTTCTAATTTTGTGAAACGGACTACTTGTGTGTTTTGAGTCTTTAACTCCTTCCAACGTTCCCTCTGAACTCGGAGGTGGATAATGTGACCAACTACGTGTGCGCAGTGCCTCTGAAGGAGCTGGGACTCGGCCTGGGGATTGAGCACCTGGGTGATGAACAGGCGCAGGAGCTGACCGACGACTACAGTCTGCCGGCTCTCAAGGTTCAGCTCCAAGGGTTTAAACTAGATCTGTGGGAAGAGAAACGTCAGTACGAGTCACGGAGGGGAATATTGTGCGGAAAACCTGAAAACTCTAATGTGGTCGTTGTAGTTTCGGGAGGGAATGTGTGATGTTTTACCTTCAAGTCCTTTCATGGAAGTAAGAATTTTATGAAGCTGCTTTATTAAATTTTTCCTACAGATGCTTTTCCAGCTGTGGTTGGGTCAAAGTTCTGAGTGTTTCCGTCGGCTGGCTCTTCTCCTCTCGCCGCACCGGATCGTCGAGTCGGCTGAAGTCGGACCCATAGGAGAAGCTTCCACCCCTCCCCTGCACCACTCCATCGCTGCCGTCACGGAGCCCCTTCATCATGCCGTCGCCGGCTGTCTCGCCGAGGTGCAGCGAAGCTACGACTTCCACCGTCACTTTGAGACTCAGCCGAAGGTGACGAGCTCAGAGAGATCCGGGCGAGAGAGGGACAAATGCCGAGAGCTCAACGCCCTGCACACATCCATCCGAAGCCTGCAGCTGCACCTCAAGGCCCTGCTCAGCGAGTGAGATGCACGCACACTTCTAAAGGAGATCGAGTGTTTATATCAGCGTGTGTGTGTGTGTGTGTGTGTGTGTGTGTGTGTGTGTGTGTGTGTGTTGGGGAGGGCAGGGGTATGACATATAATAATGCAGCTATACTACAACAGTTGGCATACAACAGAAAATGTTAATGAACCTCTCGTTGTTCCTCTGCCTCATGTAGGATGATCATCCTGGAGGATGATCTGGAGAAGCTTATGGTGTCCAGGGAGCTGACGGAGCTCACACTGGAGGGCTATCGGGACCTGAATGAGCGGCTGCAGCAGCTCCACCCACACATGCAGGCCAGCACCGGCTGCTGGGAGGACACCATCAACCAGGTGGAGCGAATGCTAAGGCGGGCCAACGCCTGTCAAGGTGAACATGTTTGCTAGTATGCTGTTAAGGAAATATCTAAAGGAACTTCAGGTGCATGCGGTGTTTATGTGATGACTCAAGAATGTTGCCAGTAGTGGGTGAAGTGGCCCCACTTCAGTAGAGAAGAAGCAGACGAAGCTGTCAACGGAGCGACCGCGCTCCGAGCTGCTGAGCTCACAGTTCCTCATCTCTGCAGCCAAAAGCGCCGGCCTGCAGCAGCAGCAGCGAGGTTCTCCGGTTCCCCAACTTCCTCTTCTCCCTCCTCCGTCATATCCCCTGATCCTGGACAGAGACCCAGTGCCAGAGGAGATGGTAAGATCAGACACCACCTTTATGTTTTTGCCTCTAATCTGGTGCAGCCCTGTTGTAAACGTCTCCCTGCTCGGTCCAAACCAGGAGCTGGAGGCCTTTGTGTCTGACTCCGACTCCGATGAGGAAGGCAGAGAGTCCTGGTTCGACATGCTGTCCCCGGAGGAGCGGGAACGTCAGCGGAGGGAGAGGGAGGAGTCTCGCCGCGTCCTGTCGGAGCTGAAAGCCGTTCTGGGTTTCCGTGCCTCTGAGGGGGAGAGGATGAAGAGGAAGCAGCTGCTGTTCAACGACCAAGGTCTGAACCGGAGTTATTCTTGGAATGAGACACATTTAAGCGGTTTCTTCTTATCCACGGGGAAAGTGTCACTACAATCAGGCTCGCTGAAAAAACATTTTTACTTATTATGTTTTAAGTGATCAGTCATTCTGAGTTTAACGTGCAGGCTGACCGTAAAAATAGCCTTCTGGCCCTTTTTCCTGCATTAGCCTCTGTAAGAAAATCCTGATAGAGCAACGTCACACCGTCAGTCAACATCCATGGACTCCCTCATCTTGACTCACGACGGGGAAAGCTGTTGTTGGTTTAGCGTCCAGGAAACCGCAGAGGACGTCTCAACTAGTGGAAGCTAACTGTTAGCATTAGCAACTCCGCCACATGGCAGAACTCCTCCAGGCTTGAGTTATTTATGGAGATAAAACACCAACGTCGCAGAGCAACCAGAGTCAGTGGTAGAGTCACGTTGCTGTTGGCCAATAAAAGGCAAGATGTCCAAATATCAGAAAATAAGACTGAATCCCACCTTCTGAAGCTACTTTCTCCTCCAGCTGACTTCTACGTCCTCAAACAGGCGCACCAGAGTCCGACTGACTCCTTCTTTCCACCGGAGCCGTCAGCAGCGCGAGTCGGCCGCGTCTCAGGAGCAGCATGTCGCGGCCTTTACGCGCCGGTTCTACTTTCTACGCGCGACGCCTCTGAAACGGGTCAAGTTCGACATTTTTGGGGAAGGAAAGACAGGAAATCGGACACGGAAATGGAGAGAAGCTACCGAGATTTTCAGAATAAAGAACGTACTGCCTTCCGGTTGCTTTACTTTTAAAAAAGGTTACTAACTGTGCGTCCCCGTGAGAAGTTATCACCTAGCTAGCGGTCTCCTTTGTTTTTCAGGTCCGTATTGGCGATTATAAAACGGACAGAACATAAAACACAAACCATGTTGTAGTTTTCTCCTGCTTGTTGTTGTGTTTACTGACGAAGTCACTCGTGTGACTTCGTGCTCGGTCGGTGACAGCTGCTCCCCTGCTGCTTCGCGTCTCGTGGGAAGGGCCAAGCAGCAGCTTACGCGAGCAAGACGTGCTGCTGCAGTAACGCGCTGCTGACGGCTCCCGTGGAAACCCGGGGTTACAAGGTGTTCGTTCCTACCAGAGACCACAGCAAATGTACCAATAATGGGAGTGAAGCTGACCTTCTCAGGTTAACCTACGCGTGTCTAATTTTTAAGTGTTTTCTGTTGACTTGAACTGAATGAGGGAAGAGAGGCAACTTGAAATTCTGAATTAGGAATGATTAAATAGCTTCTAACATCTGTTAGTGTAATGCAGGGGTCGGCAACCCGCGGCTCTTCCATCCATCTGATGTTTGTAAAATTATGAATGAATTTATTTCAAATATTTTTTATTCTACTGCTTTCTAAATGTAGAGATTGTCATCTTTTAAAATCTAAACAAAAATGATAAAGACCTGAAGTGACAGGTCACCTGCTTGTGCGTCATCAGACGTCTCTAACGGAGCTTTCTGAGCTGAAGAGGATGTGAGCTTCTGGACTTTTGCATCAGACTGGCTCATGGACGCGTCGCCACATTGGAGACAGGAACAAGCGCTATTCAGCCAAAGTTTCACAATCAGGGAACATTTTCTAAGTGACAAGTCTCTCTGAGAGACAGGGTTTGGAAAACACTCGCTTCAGTGGGAGGAACCTCCCCGCATGGCTCTGGTTCTGCTGCCGCCGGTGACCGGCGCACTCCAAGCCCCTCCCCACATCTTTAGCTCGCTGTGCACCTTATGTGCGCGCTGACAGCGAGCTGCGCTTAACACCGTGTCCAGTAAAATGCTCAGATGTTCTGGGGGAGTCTTTTCTTGATGGATTTAGCGACCTCCATGATGTGCGTGATGATTAAAATGTCAGCGCGTCTGCAGGGTTTAGGTTTCTCCGTCAAAATAAACGGTCAAACACGGGAAATATCCGGTCAAGGCGAACCCTGTCATGCAACCATTTTGCCTTCTTGTGAAGATTGTTGCAAAGAGAAACAAACTGGTTTAACACCAGACCCATGCGCACTGCATCATTACCTCCATCACTGTAGACGAGGGGAAAAAACTACCGTATTTCCCGGACTATAAGTCGCACTGTTTTTCATAGTCTGGCTGGTCCTGCGACTTATATACCAAATTATGTATACCGCGCGCTGCTGCGGGCCGGCTCCAGCCCAGGAATGAGCTCCCCTGTCCCGCTGGGAGGGTTTGACACACCGCCATCCTCTGCTTGAGACGTGGCGCGCTGCTACGCCGTGGTTGTTTATGCTGTTATTGTTACCGGTACTTGTCTTGCAATGTGAAACGGTTGGTATCAGATTTTAATTGCCCCCCCAAGGCTCTTTGTCCTGTCTGCCCACAGAGCGCTTCTCTGCATTTCTTCTGAAAAACTCTATTTTTACTAACCATGGATTTGATAAACTGGTCATTCAACGCGATCGATAAGATTTTTTCAACAATGAGAACGGAGCAGGGGGCTCCCGCATGTCCACAGGGGACACACCCGGTGGGATATATGTTGGATTCCTGGAAGGAGTGGAAGATCATATGCCTCAGCCAGCTGTCCATTGAGGATGTCGAAGACGTGTGGATATTTGGCCTGATGATCACTGGATTTCTGAGGGCGACCGGAACCCACTGAAAACACCGTCCGTGTGGAGACTTCTCAGACTGGGACGTTACTCGAGGTGAATCGTAAGCTGGACAATGTTCTAGCTGCGATACCGGTATTAGTGCGCAAAATGGACGCCATCTCGGAGAGAGTCACCGGACAGTATGGACAGGTTTAAAAAACCAAAATTGGCTTCACTGAAGGACTGGAAATGATCAGTTTAAAGACTGACTACGTTTACATGCAGCCAATATCCGGGTTATGATCGGGTTAAGGTCGGGATTCGGGTTTCTGAGTTGATCAGAATAACCCGTTTACAAGCATAAATAGAAAGAGTTACCCCTGACTTGCATAACCTGATTTAAATGCGGACGTTGGGGTAGCGTCAGGACGTATGGACTACGTCAAGACGCAATATGCGTCATTTCCGGTTCTTCTTGTTCCGGTATCCGTGAAAACAACAACATGTTTCCCAGTTCGGAAGAGATAGCGACCGCGTTTGTTTGTGCTTTAGTTTCCTCGTCACTCCAAAAGTGTGGTGCTGTGCCGCGACTCGCCATGTTGCTCCCAACTTGTTGTTTACTTCTGGTGTTCTGGCGCATACGAGACGTCTCGCTACTCAAAAGACCAAGATTCCTTGCAAACAGAGCATGCGCAGAACACACGCTTTGATGGGGATATCCCGGTATGCGTTTACACGACCAAACATTCGGGTTAGAAAAGGGTTACCCCAGGTGTAGTAACTGGGTTTTTAAAAACCCGGTTATGAGCATATCCGGGTTTTTGGCGGTGTTTACATGGACCTGCGGAACCGGGTTATTGTGAATATTCGGGTTTTAAAAGGGTTACTGGCTGCATGTAAACGCACTGATTGTAACCATAAACACATTGCTTGGTGTGTGTGTGTGTGTGTGCGTGTGCGTGTGCGTGTGTGTGTGTGTGTGCGCGCGTGTGTGCGCGTGTGCGTGTGGTTGCATGTAAATGCACTGACTGAAGTTAGAGAGGAAAATTATCTCAGCCTGACCCAAACAAAGTCTTGTTATCTGAATCTGACGCCCTGGTAGCCTTGAGCTGCAAGAAACTAAAACCCCCACGAAGGAATGCAGACAGATGCTGTGAACACCCCCCACCCCCCACCCCCCCCCCGCCTTCGGATTGGTGGACTTACGCCTGGCGAGGTCATCAATCTGTAGGAGTCAATGTACTCTTTGCTTCTCCCAAGATCTCCCTCCCACCTGTGACTGTACAGTAGATGAGCGCCGTAGATGGCTGCTCTTCCTGGGGGTAACAGGATCCCAGCCCCCCCCCCCCCCCCCCCCCCCTTCCTATTGAAGTCTCATGTTATGTTGTCTGAAGTCTGTTGCATATCTGTGAGGTGTTTTTTTGCAGAGCAAAGCTGCCCTCCTGGTGGAGGGTAACTGAAGTGCCCTTTTTCCCTCCACCTGAACCAATCCTCATGTAACCCTCTGATCTCTATTAAGGTAGCGCGACTCGGGTTGCGAATGACCACAGTCACCAATTCTTGTCATGTGTCTTGCCCATGTATGTCTGATCTCTGAATCGTGTGTACTGAAACTCTAATTTCCCTCTGAGATTAATAAAGGATTGATTGATTGATTGATTGATTGATTGATTGATTGATTGATTGATTGATTGATTGATAGGTAAGACATATAATAACATTTCTCCCCAAAATGCGACTTATATATTATTTTTCTTCTTCATTATACATTTTATGGCTGGTGCGACTTATACTCCGGAAAATCCGGTAGTTGATCGGAACCTTTTCTTACCTTTTACACGTTGTTTAATGTAAACTTTCGTTCTGTACAAAGTTTAATATCAACAATCCAACAGACAGAGCCTGGATTATTATTCTGAACAGTTTAAACATGTTTTAAAAGGAGACATGTGTGTGTTGTGTCAAAAAGCATCACCTGCTCAAGCCCTTTAGGCCCCGCCCACAACGCCTGCGGCTCCCAGTGTTTTCTTTACTGTGGGAAACGGGTAATAACGGCTCTTTGATTGGGAAAGGTTGCCGACCCCTGGTCTAATGTGAAATAAAAAGCTTCTGATTGATTTTATTTTTGTTAAATAAATAACGAGCATTTTCAGAAGTGTAAAGCAACCGTTTCGGCTTCTCTTCCAGCTGCTGTTTTGCCCTCAGTCCTCCCTCAGAGTCAGGATCCTGCTGAAAACCCATCAGGCTTTCCAGTTCCTGTGAGCGCTGCCGAAACTGATACCGAGGAAGGAAACTACCTATCAGAGCGCTCCGCAGGAAACCGGGGGGAGGAAGAGGAAGGAAAAGATGACAAGGTGAGGTCTGACCCCTCTGCCGACTCTGTGACAGAGTTCAGCTGCGGCTCGGAGGAAAGGGAGTTGGGAGGAACGGCAGTTTGCAGCAGCAGAGGAGGAGGGGCATCGGAGCTGCACCAGTACGATGGCATGACCGAGGAGGAAGAGGAGGTTCAGAACGGTCTGGACTGCTTCCTGAAGCCTAAAGTTCCCGCCGTCTCTGTGATGGACAGGCTGACGGAGATACACGGCCCAGAGATGCTCAGCTTCAGCTCCGCCCTCGCTGCGCAGGTGGTCGCACGCTCACAGATGCTCATCAGCATGGAGGAGCAGATGTTTGGAGACGATGATGAGGAGGAGGAGGGGGAAGAAGAGGAGAGCAACGGAAGAACCTCAGAAGAGCTGGGCGATAAGCTCCGCTGCTTTGACTGAACAGAGACGTTATTTATGTTCGAGTGTCTCGTCTCGACGGGTCTGTGTTCCATCTAGCTGCTTCAGATGCGGAGGTATTTAAATCAAGCCCGTCCATCCGTCTGTCTGTCCTCGTTCTCGTCACCTACAATTCTTACTGCTGTTGAATCTCAGGAAGCAGAACCACTGACACAAATAAAACCTCACTGCGCTGAGGCCCGAGTAGCAGAATGTCCTTCGGATCTGTAAATCATCCCAGCGTTTCTGAAGTTGTGAGGGAAGCAGGATTTTTTTTTCATCCTCATGACTTTCATTGTAAAGGATTATTCGGAGAGGAAAATGCGGTTTTCTTTGTTAGTGTAAAAAAACCCAATCCAGCTTAAGTTCCCTAAAGAAAAGAAATCATTAACAGAGGAAAAAGCTTCACTGTGAGGCTGTTTGTGTTTGTCTGCAATGAAAAACAATTGACTAGTTTCATTTAAATAACTTTTTATGTCTTTAAATGATACAGAAAAATAAAAATGTTTAAAAATACCAAAAATTTTACAAAGTTTGAGTTATGAATTTAAAACATGTGAAAAATATGCCCTGCGTGGCTTTTTGCAGGGAGCGAGGTACAGTCGACATGTTTGTAGTTGAATAAACATAAAAAGTCCTGCAGTGAAATTAAGAAAACAATCTGAGCAGAACGCTGTTGGACAAGGAAGTCCAAAGCTGTTTTAACCGTCATGGCTCTGTTTTCACTCGACCCCTTTTTTCTGCTCTCTCTCTCTCTCTCTCTCTCTCTCTGTGGCGCGAAGCGGAACGTTTGTTCAGAATTCCAGTGGCACATTTGGAATGTTGTGTCTAAAATCTGTTCATTAGGTGAGACGGTTTCATCTGTGTTCGCACAGCGTGAAAGCTCTGGGCTTGGATCGGTAAATGTGGTTTGTGAGTTTCAACGTGTGTGCTTACGTTTCAACAGACGGTCCTGATGCTTCCCCCCCAAAGGCCACCTCCACCTCATGGTCTTTCTTGTCACCGTGTTTGCCTTGTTCTGACCCTTCCTGCATTTTTCACATGGAAATAAAAGTACCACTCTGGAAGTGTTAAAAAACACCCTTTGTCCTTGTGTCTCATAGAAGGGGCAAAGAAACAGGTTTGGTAAGTGACTTGATCCGTTTTGTTGAATTTAGCTTTTGTTTGATCCACAAAAGCTGCTGTTCCTCTTTCTGTCGCTCTTGTCTGTGGAGGTAAAACAAATAAGTTTTTCTTTTGTCACTAATCTGCATAACTTTAAAGAGCAAGTCACTCCAAATCACCATTTTTTTTGCTGATAAACTATATAAATGAGTGTCCAATTGTGCTGTAGACAAATGTAGTCAATAATTCGGCACTTTAGTACATCTTAGTTAAAATTTTAATTTTCTGCCTAAAACTGTCAGCGATGCACCGTCGTCAGGCAAAAACTCAGCACAGCATTTGAATTTAAATCTGCCATCGCTATTGCCTAAGAGGTACACTATGATGTTGGATGGTATATTATGATGTCACAATGTTGTGAGTATGTGTATTTGTTAGAAGCTCCGCCTTCTCGGTCTGCTAGGCAACAGCATTTGTTGCATTTTTCAAACAGGAAGTGGGAGTTGAGTAAGAATCTGGCAGGGGGTGACTTGCTCTTTAAAGATATGGTTGTCAGGGCAACCACTTGGGTGGAACTTTTTTCTTTTTCTTTTAATATTTCTTACTTTATTTTTTTCTTTTTTCTCTACATCACCTTGGAATGGACGTCACTGGCGCTTTAGCTCACCTAGTAAGACGTCGGACTCTCGTGCAGAAGACCTGGGTTTGATTCTGGATGTGAACATAGTTTATTTAGAGTTTATTTTTTACATTAATGGTATATTTTTTTACAGTAAGATGCCCAAATTTTTATTTGAGTCTCGCCGAACGGCATTGAATTCACAGATAAAAAAGATGTGGGTTCAACTTTCATTTTGGAACAATTTTTCAAGCAAGGGAAGGGAATGATCTGAGCATGCAGGAGGACTGACCCATCATAAACCTTTGTCGCTGTGCTGAAGAGAAAGCTACAGAACCACATTATTTAATTAATTAGCTGCACGTTCTCCTGTCCTCTGGGCCACACACACACACACACACACACACACACACGGAACTGTCTCAGCTGTTATTTTCGTTTAGGAGTGTGCACGTACAGCATGCGTGCCTCGTACACGAGCCTACTATTGAAACTGCTGTTACGCTTTCTGCCTGAGGGGGCAATCGCGAGCCTAAAAATTCAAAACTCCGTAAAGTCCCTTCAAAGATATGGTTGTCAGGGCAACCATGTGGGTGGAACTTTTTTCGTTTTCTTTTAATATTTCTTACTTTCTTTTTTCTCTACTTCAATTTTTAAGCTAGCCTAGTGAACTAGAACAAATTCTTTCTTTGCAAAGTAAATAATATATTTATTTAGTTTGGCTTGCCAGGCTATTCTTAAGCAGCTTTGGTTATCATTTTCAGTAATCAACATTCAAATGGCATTTCGGCAATAATTTAAATTGATCTAGTTTAATCAAATTTTACATGTTTGTTCCTAATTTTTTAGGGGGAAAATATTTTTTCTGGATTTTTTTTATTAAAAACGTATAGCTGTTAAAAATGTCTTAAACATTTTGTCTGTTATTGAAACATTTAAGGTTATTTAGATTACAAGTAGAAGTCGTGGCTCCAATCAATTTCAGTTTCCCCCGAAGTATACCAAAAAACTCAAAAAAAAAATTTTCAAAACTTTATTGAACAAGGTGAAAGTATACAATCAAATTGCATACAAAATTGAACAAAGAAGATGAAACATATGCCAGGGGGTGTACTACAAAAATGTTCCACACATCCAAATAACTTATAGGTGGTGCAAATAGTTATAGTTTTTAAAGCTTTTTGTTTAGTGATCCACTAATCAATTTTATATAAGATAGAGTGTCACTATAATAGTGCTTGAAATGAGGTTTTTGGTTACTATACTTGCATTTGTGGAGATAGAATTTAGCTAGAATAATTAACGAATTTATAACAAAGTATACATCTTGCTTTCTGTGCTTGCGAAAAAAACAAAATACAACATTTTCCCAATTTAAAACAAAGTCCTTGCAGAGCTAAAAAACTCAAATTTTATATGCCTGAAAACACTGGTGACTTTGCCACCTAGTGGTGTTTTCTGTTACTGCAAGGTATGCTTGTGGCAAAAATTAAATTCGCCAAAAAAAACATTCAACCTTTGATTAAAAATTAAGTATTTTTAAAAAATATATTTAAAATAAATGTCGCTTGATTCACCCCTCATGTCTTCAATGCGGTTTATATGCCAAATTGAAAAGTTCCGACCTGTTATTGAATGAATAAAATTATTTTGCTCATAGCAAAAATGCTAAAAGTGTAAATTTAAATATATATATTTATAGAGAGCACTTTCTGCTGATTCGGCACATTTTTCCTTAAGAGGCGTTCAAAGGCTCTAATTTGTACGTGAGCGTAGTGGGTTACATTGATTATTCAGCTGCATGAAACATTGTTGTAGCGAAAAACAATTTAAATCTCTAACATAACTGTAAAATATAAAGCACACATTGTACAGCCACTCAAGTTCATGAGAAGTCGTTTTCGAGCAAATAATTATAACAACATAAAAAAAATCCGAGTGTCCGTGAAGGCGGCGTCACAAACAGTAGTCCTGCAGTCCGTGTCGCTTCCTTTTTCAGCAGCGCCTGCGACCATGACGGATGTTGTGGCGGAACAGAACCAGAAACCAGTTCTGGAGAGAGAGCTGAACGGGGAGGCCGAAGTGAAAGAAGAGGCCGACCCAGTGGAGGAGGCCGCAAAAAAGAAGAAGAAGAAGAAAAAGAAGAGCAAGTCTGCAACGACAGGTGAGGTTATCTGGGCCGCTTTAATGCTAACAGGCTAACAGCGGTAGCTAATCAGAGCTGTGTCAAGTTAGTTACAGCTACTCCCATCAGAGTCGGAAATAACTGAACGTAGCCTATATGAATAATAAAAAAGTGTGTCCGCATTTTACAATCCTTCTGACAACGTCAGGCGTAACACTGAGAAATCCCATTTAATTCATGTAGATTATTATTTTTTTTGTTATGGAGTGTTGCATCACAGTTGTATAATTTATGAATCAGGAATTCTTTTAGAATAAGATGACTAATTGTTGTCAAACTAATGTACCAAACGTTACAATTTGGTTTATGCATGTTAATATTAAGTAGATGGTAAATTTAGCTGCTGGTAAGCGTGTTATGCTTTTTCGGGTGATTATTTTGAAAGTCAGACCGGAAGTTAGCTTGTTAGCTAGTGTAACTTGGTGCAGCTCCTCCATGCGGGTTTGAGTGGAGTATTTTGAGTCACGGAGTGCCTGTGAATCCTGTCAGGCCTCAGAACACGCACCAGGATTAGGACAGAACCTCATCCAAGTTCAGTGACATAACGCGGGCATGTTTTAAAATGTTTCCAGCTCTTAAAATCAAGCGTGCAGGCGCAATTCCTCTCATCAAGCCGCACCTTTGGCAGCGGTTTCCGTTTTTTTCTTTTTTTTGGTGAACCTCAGCCAACTTTTCCTGTTTCGTAATTTTTTCAATTTTTCAATTTTTTTCAATTCAATTCTTTATTTCACTCAAAGTTTAAATATACAAACTTCAAATCAGAATATAAGCATTCAAGTGAAATAGGGGGAGGAAGAAGAAAAAATCTTATATGACCTACCCCCTTTAACTAAGACAAGATAAATAACAAAACGTACAAAATAGCCTTATACACAAAAAATAAACCGCTCTCTTACTTCCACAAATAATATCACTACTAAAACATCAATCCTCCATCCTCAACTTACCAAATCATACGATTTTAGCATTTTATCTTTATACATTTTTTTGAATTGATCAGTAGTTGCACATTTTTTTAATTCATCATCCAGGTTATTCCATAATGTCACACCATATATTGAAATACACATTTGCTTTAATGTAGTACGAACAAATATCCTTTTAAACTCTGGTTTCTTTCTACTCTTATCATTTTTTGGGATTAAAACAAAGAACCTTTGTAGATTAGTTGGCAGCAAATTATTTCTAGCCTCAAACATAATTAGTAAAATTTTCAAGTTAACAAAGTCTTTGAATTTCATAATTTTAGATAGAACAAAATATTTGTTAGTATGTTCTCTTGGATTTGCTTTATATAGAATTCGCAGAACTTTCTTCTGTAACAGAAACAAAGGATTAGTGTTTGTTTTATATGTATTGCCCCAAACCTCAATACAATAAGTTAAGTATGGGAAGATAAATGAGTAATATAATGTCTGAAGCGTTGTAATTTCTAGAAAACCTTTGACTTTGTTTAAAATTCCAATACTTTTGGATATTTTTTGTTTTATATATTTTATATGGGATTTCCAAGTAAGTTTATGGTCCAAGAGAACCCCTAAGAATCTGACTTCATTTACTCTATCAATTAAAAAACCATCAATAGACAATGTAACTAAATCATTAGTTTTTCTGTTACCAAAAACCATGAATTTTGTTTTATTCCAATTGAGAAATAATTTATTGTCATTAAACCACTTCTTAAGTTTAGACATTTCACAAACCATATTTTGAATAATAATTTCTAAATCATTTCCAGAACAAAATATATTCGTGTCATCAGCAAACAATATGAACTGTAATACTTTGGACACATCACAAATGTCATTGATATATAGAATGAAAAGCTTAGGGCCCAACACTGACCCCTGTGGGACACCGTGTGTAATCTCTAGTGAATCTGAAATTTCATCATCTAACTGTACAAATTGATTTCTATTGGTCAAATAACTACTTAACCAGTCATGGGCGATTCCACGTATCCCATAATCCCTCAGCTTGGAGAGTAAAATACTATGATCTATTGTGTCAAATGCCTTTTTTAAATCAATAAACAACCCCACTGTATATTGTTTTTTTTCTATTGCTGATGAAAGTTCTTCATTTAATTCCAATAAAGCCAGGGATGTAGATTTATGTGATCGAAACCCATACTGACTCTCACTCAGGAGGTTTTCCTTCTCAATAAAGTTATCTAGTTTCTGAACAAACCATTTCTCAAGCACTTTAGAAAACTGAGAAAGCACTGAGATTGGTCTATAATTATCAAACTTATGTCTATCACCATTTTTAAAAATTGGAATTACTTTTGTAGTTTTCATTTTTTCTGGAAATGTACCACTCTGAACAGACAAATTACAGATATAAGTGAATGGTTTGACAACATAATCAATAGTTTTCTTTACAATCATCATGTCAATCCCGTCACAGTCTGAATTATGTAATATATTAGACATAAAAGATGACTTTTAAACAATCAGCTCAATAAGACAATCAGATCTAATCGTTATCCCCACCAGTAAACCATAGTTGACCTTCAAAAGTATTTTGTGGGCTCATGGTAACATATTTTCTGGTCTGTAGTACCTGCAGTTTGCTTAAAACTCGGGTTAGTGCTGGGCCGTATGGAAACATTTACATTTTCATGTAATTTTACTGGTTGTAGAGCTGCTGCTATCAAATTATTTTATTAATCAAATTGCCACAGGAATGGTCAGTTGATAGAATAACTAGATACACCTTTTATATTTCCTTTGCTTTGAAAATCTGGTCAAAATGTAACAGAGGAATACGTTTTGTGAAAAAACTAGTCGATAATAAGTGTGTTTCTATAACAACATTTATTGCTTTCAACTCTTTTACATTTGCTGCCTGTTAACTTTGGTGCAGCTCAGCTGAGACGGATGAATTGGCCCACACCATTATTATTCCTGAAATATAGAAATTTAGTTTACCAGCTAATCAAGTTGATTATTTTACTAAATAAATACATACATACATTACAAAATAGTAAAATCATATATGGGTTTTCAAAAGAGCTGACAAGCAGACATTCTACCCTAATGCTGGCTTGCAATAAAACAGCGACAAAAAAATCTAATAAAAACACACTTTTTGGGCTTTTAGCGGTAGCAAATAATTAATTCTCAGTTATCACTCAGTTTATCTTCATTTGAAGAGGTACATCACTTATATTTTGAATACATTTGCAGTAGTCTTTAGTAGGAATGAATGTCTTGGCTAGTTAATACTCCTCAGTCAGTCAGGGGGTCGTGGGCAGGCTCATTGTTAGAGCACGGGTCTCCGGTTCGCAAGATGCGGAGATTGTGTGAGATGGTGCTCAGATTGTAATGTTTTCTTGATTGATAATGTTACCTCTGCAATGTACTCTGTGTGTAACGTGTAAAATATCTGCGCGCCTGCATGAATCATTAACAAACTCACTCATGTTCAAGCAAATAAATGACTTCTTCTACAAACCACCATCGTCGGTGGTCGAATAATTTGTCAAATCGCCGAGCGCTAGCTCCTATAGGTGCAGACGATTCTATAGGCCAAGTCACTCAACAGTCACTTATTGTGACCATTTACATTTACTGGCTGTTATTGATCTGCGTGCTACTGCAGCTGCTGAGGTGGCGGCAGATGGAGTGGTGGAAGTAACCACACAGCTGGAGAAGCAGGCGATCGAAGACAAAGAGAAGGAGGAGGATGGCGAGGAAGGTAATTATCTAGCATATAAATCCCAAATAAACACCGGTTTCATCTTTTGTCGTTCACCTAAAGTTACTTCTTCATAACTGGTGTGTTGTTATTTATTCATTTTGACTGACACAGATGGGGATGATGGTGAAAATGCAGCAGGGAAGAAGAAGAAGAAGAAAAAGAAGAAAAAAGGATGTAAGATGATGGGGTTTTGCTTGTAGTAGTTTTTGGTGAAGTTCTGACTTAAGACGAGGAGTTTGGGCTGAATGATTTATTTATGATTATTCTGGCAGAAATGGCAATTTCTCTTTGATTCTTATATATTTTTTCCTAATCAGTTCAAGTTTATTTATAAAGCGCCAAATCACGACCAGAGTCGTCTCAAGGACCTTCACACAGTAAACATTCCAGTACAGGTCAGTTTATTAAGCCAGTCAGTAACACGTTTCCTATATAAGGAACCCAGCAGGTCGCATCGAGTCACTGACTAGTGTCCGAGTCTTTACAGCAATCCTCATACTAAGCAAGCATGCAGCGACAGTGGAGAGGAAAACTCCCTTTTAACAGGAAGAAACCTGCAGAGGATCCTGGCTCAGTATAAGCAGCCATCCTCCACGACTTATCAAGCTTCAGCGCAATACTCCGGATATTCTGGACTGTTTTACAAACACAACAGAAAACAACATCGAGCCACTGCTCCCATAATTCAAGAATAAAAACTGAGGGCAAAAATAGCTTTCAAATAGGGGTGTGCCATCTTTGGTTCCCCATGACTTGATTTGGATTCAGAGTCCTTTGATTCGATTATTAAACGATTATCACTATTTCTGGTGCATTTCTTTCACCATTTACCGTATTTTCCGGAGTATACGTCGCACCAGCCATAAAATGTATGATGAAGAAGAAAAAAACATACGTAAGTCGCCTTTTAGGGGGAAATTTTATTATTTTTCTTACAACATCTGAGACCGAGCGTTTCACACTGCAAGACAAGCGCCGGTAACAATAACAGAATAAACAACCAGGGCGCAGCAGCGCACCACGGTCTCCAGCAGGTGATGGCGGTGTTTCAAACCCTCCCGGCGGGCAAGGAGAGATCATTCCTGGGCCGGAGCCGCCCAGCCCGCAGCAGCGCGCCACAGGCTCCAGCAGGTGATGGCGGGGCAGAGGAGCTTATTCGTGGTCCAGAGCCGGCCCGCAGCAGCGCGGTATTCATAATTTGGTAAATAAGTCGCTGGACCAGCCAGGCTATTCACACTAATTCAGCACACAATTCTAGTTTAATTCAAGTTACCCAATACCTTTTACTCCACGATGTTGTTCATGTGAAACGGAGCACATGCGCAACATACTTCATAAAGTCTACATGAACAACGTGAAATGGTTTTCTGAAACAGGCCGGAGAATCTAGACCATCTTTTCACTTCATCTGCTGGATGGCTCGGCAGGCTAGAGTTGGACCTTTGCAGAAAATCATGAATTGAACTGAAATCACAATTTCTGCTAGAAAAATGTGCAATTCAGTCTTTTCCTGAAATGGTTCGTCCCTAGATCGTCACCAGGTTTATCCGTATTTCACCTATAAGTGCTATTTTAATTTCTATTCAATTATCTGTTGGTTTATCCTTCAGCCAAAACTCAGACGGATCCTCCGTCTGTTCCCATCTGTGAGTTGTATCCAAATGGAGTTTTTCCCATCGGACAGGAGTGTGAATATCCCGTCTGCCAGGATGGGTGAGTGGACTCGAGCTGTTCCTTAGCAGCCTTTACACTTTGTGGTTGTTTATCTCAGTTTTATTGATGTAACGTCACGCAATGGCCAGATTTTGAGATGAGTTTATTTAGAAGCAATTTACTAAACCAAACATACGATTTATCAGACATGACATTGATGTATAAATATCAGATTACTGAGGCTAGAATATCCAGGGTATCCGCAGGTCCTTAAAAAGTCTTAAGTTTGCTTTTCCAAATTTAAGGCCCTAAAAATCCTTAAAAATTACAAATAATCCTTAAATACAGTTTTCAAAGGTCTTAAGTTACCAAAGACCCAATAAACAAGAATATTTTATTTCTATAAAATTTTCGTGACTTTGTAGTTCAGCGTTTTTTGAGTACGATGTTGCCGTAAGCGGAACCGTACACATTCAGTTGGTTGTGAAAGGGGGCTGTTTTTAGATGAGCACATTAGCTGGTTAAGCTAGTGGGAGCTTGCGCCATGGGAAAGTGCAAGTTTAATGGTAACTGGATGGCTAATCCCACCTTCGCGACGTGGTTAGCACCGGTTCCAGGCAATAGCTGGAAATTATAGCTTAAATTTAAAAAAATTACTTAAATTTGGCCAAAGTGGCCTTAAAAAATGTCTTAAAAAGCAATAAAATTGGCTCCCTTAAACCTGCAGATACCCTGCTATCCTCCCCTGGTGTGCTGGTAGATATTCCAGCATAAAGCAGAACCAAGCAGGGCGTTTGCTCCATGCATTCTCATTCAGCCTTATTACCTTGGGAAGTGTGCTTTTATGTCTGAATTTGAGTTGCAACTCATTAGAATGACTTTAATCATAAAGAGTGTTTAAAAAGTTAAATGGACTGGTAGCTGTTTGCAGGTAAACTCACTGATGGATCAGAGGGTTGTAGCTAGATAAGGAGCCTGCAGCAGTGCCTCTGCTTATCTGTGTTGTCGTCTCCCAGTCGAAGCGCGGTGAGCCGCATGACCATCGAGGAGAGGCGGGTGCTGGATAAGGCCAACGAGGAGGTGTGGAACGACTTCAGGCAGGCCGCTGAAGCACACAGACAAGTTCGCAGTCACGTCCGCAGCTTCCTTAAGCCGGGCCTGACCATGATCGAAATCTGGTGAGGTTGTTTTACAGGTGATGGTAAAAAGCCGACAGGCCGATTTAGCTTTAATGCAAAGTGAGATTAGGTCAGATTATATCCGAGTCTTTTTGGACAAAAGGGACAAGAAAGTAAACGCACGTTTGGCGCGGCCCAGTGTTGTTCAGATCTCAGTGAGGGTTTATTTTCAGGCTGATGAAGTAGGAGGTTTAGGTTGTAGTCGATACATGATTAATCATTATGTATTATATCGCTTTGTTTAATGAAAGGATTTCATTTAGGCTGCATAAGAACTAGAATAAACCAGTTTTCCTGTAAGGATGATGTCAGCAGGGTGTTGGCGGCCCGGGCTTAGACCCAGGAACGACGGAAGATCTCATCGGCCGTTATCAGACGCCACCACAGAGGGTGTGCCTTGTGTGAAAACATTAAAAGCACACACAACATGCTGAACGTTTTAAAAGGGACCAGTTTACTGCTGCTTACCAGTTTAGCTGGCGCTGGACAGTCGCGTGTTTTGCTTTGTGACGCGATCTGTCAGAACCGAAAACGGGGAAGTCAGTCTGCTAGCGGTGACTTTCCAGTGCTGGACGCTGTCACGTTAAAACCACCCAAGCTGCTAATTTCTCCTAATGTCTTCAACATAGTTGTACTTCCTTTGGCTCTGTTGTGTAATATTTGTAAACCTGACAGGAATAACCCCGTCTTCGCTTGTTTACTGTCTAAGTTTGTTGTTGTTCCTGTTCTGGACTCAGTGAGCGTTTGGAGGATTGCTCCCGTAAGCTGATAAAGGAGAACGGGCTGGATGCCGGCCTGGCCTTCCCCACCGGCTGCTCCCTGAACCATTGTGCTGCCCACTACACTCCCAACGCCGGAGACACCACCGTCCTGCAGTACGACGATGTCTGCAAGATTGACTTCGGCACACACATCAACGGTAAGATGTGGCCGTAGAGCTGCTCGAGCTCCATTTTTCTACCGATGCTGTGAAACGGTAGCCTAAAAATCTAGACTAGGGCTGCTCGATTACGGCAAAAATAATAATCACGATTATTGTGACTGAAATTGAGATCACGATTATTTAGGACGATTTTTCAATTTATGTTGATTTTATTTGTTTTTATTCAGTCATAAAATTGCTCAGGGCACAATCAGGACAAAAATAAATAAGAAACAAGATGATCACTAAAATAACTCCTGATTACCAGTATAAGTATATAGCTCATAGTTTATGACCCAAGGGCTATAGACCTTGGTTTAACTCATTTAAGTCTAACCAGTACAGACCCAAATACCAATATCTTGCAAATACTGACAGCAAGAATTATACAGTGGCATTTATAACAAATACATGCAAATTGATGTTCACAAAATGTTGCATAGCATTTATTGAGTCGTGTCGAGGTGCTGTAGGAGCGTGCACTAGCACCGTGTCCTCAGAGAGATTAGTTATTTATCAGCGTGAGGAACTTATTTCTACCTTATTTATAAACTATTTATTTACAGATCCATCAGTTAATGTAATAATTGTCCCAACCACAGCTGCACCCCCCCACCCCCCAACCCGGTCTCACAGCAATCGGGGCAAGCTGCACGTGTGTTTAGCGCGCCGCACGCGCACATTTAGCTGTTTTTAGCGGCTCAGGAACCCGCAGGTGCGGTGTGTGTCACTCACTCTGGTTAATCCAACAGGGAGCCGGCTCTGAGAGCTGTTTCTTTAGCGACCGACACATCACTGCATCATTCCCTTTCCTAATGTCCTGAAGAACGGTCCGGAGCGCAGGCGGAGTGTTTAGCTAACCTGCAGGAAATGTCGACGACAGTTATCCAGTGTTGGGGTTATTAGGTAGCGAACAATTAGTAAGCGTTAACTTACTTTTGGATTCTCAATAAATTCTGTAAATATGGGAATATTTACTGATTTATTAATTAATTAAGATATTCTTAGATATCTCCGGGGCACCACCCCGTTCTACCGGGGAAAAATTGAATCCAAAACTCTTATCAGTCTTTCTTGAAGTTCGTAGAATCCTTGGAGCAGAGACTTCTCTTCGACACAACAAAGCTACTGGAGACGAAAATCTGAATTTTATAACGTTTAATTAACAATTTGTCAAATGAATAAACAGTGGCATAAATGAATAATAACCATGTGATATAATAAAAGGATGTATATTCAAAATAATGTTCAAGGTGTTTTGTGTGTATGTATGTGTGTGTGTGTGTTTCTAAAATGGAGTCTGTATGCAAGATGGCTGACCCCTTTGTCTGGCTAAAGTGTGGGTGGCAACTTGCACTTTAACTTCCAAGGCACTTGGAATCATAAGTAACTTAACCTTAAATTCACTCAAAACATTTCAAAGGATCATGAAACAACACAAAGGATTAATCACGAATAATATCTTTTAGTTTAACCACGTGGCCAAGCAGAAAACATTTAAAGATACCAAACAATGATCAATAAGCAGTTTATTCTCTATCAAAATGACCCGACGAACGTGTTTGGGAACGAAAGAGGAAAACACGAAGCTACTTTTTAAGCAATAGCGCGGTTTTATTGCTTATTCTGGACTATAGAGGAAACGGGAGGAGAAAAGGAGAGAGAGAAATGAGTTTTCTGATCACCAGAAGAGCAAGGCGTCCCCCGCTGTTTTTGATTTGACGGTTCTCCGTGTTTCTCCGCAGTTTGGCGTCGTCCGTCGGTTTGATGCTTTCTCCGTTGTTTACCTCCACGAGTGTTTCTCCACGGGCTGGACACAAAGAGAACGAAGTTTCTTTTGGGCTGAGTTTGACAACTGACAGCGTCTCTGAGAGCTGGTTGGAGCTCCGCTCGTTCCCAGTCAGGTCCCGATGGAGTTGGAGTGGTTTCCAGCGGTTGCGTGGCTCAATCTTGGGCACTTAGAGCTTCCGCGTGCTCAAGGGAGTCGGAGCGTTCGACAAGCGTGTCCTTACCGCCAGGTATCCTGGGCAAAAGAAACGAGGTTTCTTTGTCTTTGCTGAAGATTTATGGTCTTAGTTCGCGGGAAAAGCTCCACGGCCTCCCGCACATGCGCAGAACGTGTTTCTGGTATTAGGCGGTGACATCATCACAATGCTTCCGTGTGCAAAGCATCATGGGAAATGAAGTTTCTTGGCGCTGATGTGATTATTTGCTTTTCAGAGCAATTTAAGCACAGTCATTTTGGAGAAAATCACTGCATAGTAATTTCCTCATGAGGTCAGACCCTCAACACCAGAAAGTAGCTAAGGGTTACCAGAGATGTTTCTGAGATGTTCGCTAGGTACTTTTAGGATTAAAAAGTCAAGAAGGGGGTCTGAGAAGCTGTTAGAAATAGCGTCAAAGTCGTTAAGTGGCAACACTGTGGAGGAGCGCTTCATTTGCAACTCAGGGCAGCGCAAGCGGGAGGAGCAAATAATCGGCTTGTTTTGTTTTTATAATCGTTCAAAACTCGGATCGTAATCGTGATTAAAATTCGATTAATTGAGCAGCCTTAATCTAGACTGTCTGCCAAAAATGATTTTGCTCTGGATGTCGGGCTAGACGCGCTCCGTTGGAACCTCCGCAGCCCCGGCCAGTCTGGCGGCTGCCCAATCACAGCGCTCTATCAGTTTGCTGGGCAGTTACTGCAACTGAGTAAAACTGAGTTGGGGGGGCTCTAACCGGCTTTGGCATCACATCTGGACCGTTTAGGGTTGTTTTTGAGTCCAGAGCAGATGGACGAACTTGGGTTTATTTAGAAAAAGAACGTATTTGCGTCGTCAGCGGTGTGTGGTGGACTGCCCCGTTGACTGACACCCCTACCGTAGAGTACGCCACGTTGTTTGTTGCCCAATGGCGTGCAGACACCGTTAGAAAGACGACCAAAGAGCTGGCCCCTCGACTGAGCGCATCAGTGGGCCGTGGCCAGACTACAGTCACACATATAGGATGGCTTGCCAGGCCAGTAAATTGGAGTGCTTAGGGCCCACTTGGCATCAGTTCTGGATAACTCACTGTCAGCAAAGTCTAATCAAATGTTCGGCTCTGAGCATAAGCCAAGTCCGCAGAAACGGATTATACGCTGCCAACTTTCCATCTGTCTTTCTGCGTGTCAACCTAAAACGAGCCAAAAACAAGCCCTTTAAGGGACGTTGTCTCTGTTCTGGTGTTTTCTGCAGGGCGAATCATTGACTGTGCCTTCACCGTCACGTTTAACCCAAAGTACGACAAGCTGCTGGAGGCTGTGAGAGACGCCACCAACACCGGAATCAGAGTGGGACTCGAATACTCGCACAAACCAACATCACAAGTGACCTGTGCCTAGTCTGCAGCTGACTCTTTCCTGTTGGGTGTGTTGCAGAATGCTGGCATTGATGTGCGTCTGTGTGACGTTGGAGAGGCGATTCAGGAGGTGATGGAGTCGTACGAGGTGGAGCTGGATGGAAAAACCTACCAAGGTATGTTTAGAGAGAGAGACACAAACAGCTTATTTAAACCATCGACATAGATACTGGACAATTCGTGCCCACAGGCTCCAATAACACGTTTTTGAGGCTAAATGGGAGGTGGCCACCACCGCCATTTTGACCGTGTCACAGGTTCCGTCAAGCCCAGACAATTCCATAAAAGGGAAGAGAGGTGGAGCTGACGGTGGGGCTGTAAGGCTGGGATCAACTGTCGACACCCGGTCGAACTAGCTACAAGCTAACCCAAAGCTAACACGGAGGTGGGGGCTAAGCTAACGGAGGTAGCAACCTAGCTACAACCGGAGTCAACTGTGCACAACACCAGAGCTTCTGAGTCAGAGATGCGCCGGGCTGACCGCTGGGGAGAACCGGGTGGAACACAGAGGTCTCCGAGAGCTCCACAAGCCGGCAGCCGCACAGCAGACAAGCGCCGAGCTGCCGCTGGGGGGAGGGGACCATACCGATAGTGGGAACCGAGCTCCACCAACATGTTATATTTCAACCCATTTTCTAAAGTGCAGCATTATGTTAAATGCACTGGGTTTTACCCTATTACATTTAAATTTCATGGTTAAACAGTACATGTTAAAATCTAAGCTCAGCTCGGCAGTGACCTAAAATACATAAATATCATTTTACTTACTGACAAAAATGAAGTGGAGACTCCTTGGACGCTCTATTAGTGCTATTAATAAGAATAAGAATAAGAACAACTTTATTTATCCCGAGGGAAATTCTTGTGTCATGTACATGCTCAAAGCAGTCGGAGAGACAAAGGAACAGGTGAAATAGAAATATGATATACAATATATTCATTAAAAAACAAAAAAAAAAAAGATCTACAGTAGAACCATGCAGGATAGTGCAAAACAAACAATCGCATATCTCAATAATTAAATACATGACTGCATCCTTGTGAATAAGTAATTAAGCCGTCGGTGCAGGCGATTCACAAAAGTGATTAAAATATGGGTTTGTAGCAGCGTATGATATGATGGGGGGATAAAAACATATTTACAATCAGAACTCTTGGGTAATATTGCACAGTCGGTGAGGGCACAGAATAACCAAGGTAATAGTATTTGGAGAATCACCTACAGTGTGAGGAAGAGTTAAACAGTCCTATTGCCACCGGTACGAAGGATTTCCTGTGGCGGTCAGTTCTGCATTTCGGGGCAATGAGTCTTTTGCTGCGTGTGCTTCGGTGGTCCATCATGTGGGCGTGCATGGGGTGGGAGGGGTTGTTCATGATAGAGAGAAGCTTTTTTAGCATTCTCCTCAGACACCTCCTCCAGGTTCTCCAGTCTAACACCCAGGACAGACCCAGCCCTTCTAATCAGCTTGTTGAGCCGGTTGGCATCAGCTGTCTTCACTCCACTGCCCCAGCACACAGCTGCAAAGAACACAACGCTCTCCAACACCGAGTGATAGAACATGGTCAGCATTTTCCTACAAACATTGAAGGACCTGAGCCGCCTCAGAAGGAAAAGCCGACTCTGCCCTTTTTTGAAGATGGCATTGGTGTTCTGCACAGCTGTAATGCCACAGCAAGTCATTTTGTCCAACAATTGCACAAATAATATCCAAACAAGAATACACACACACAGAGACTGTAAATCCCGGAGCAGTTTCCAGGCCAGACCGAGGCTCTACTGAGGCCTTTCCATGGAGCTAGCTCTGTGGTCACGTGGGTCTGATGCTCATTAATTATACAGAATTTTAGGCTTTTAATACACTTAAACAGAAGAGTGAGAAAAATATTCACCCCTCTCAGAGTTGTCTTGAGTGTAAACTAGATCATTTAAACCAAAAACATGTTTTGGTACCAGGCTGTAAACATGTTTATTTCTGCTGTGAAATTGGTATTTTTAACATGGGAGTCAATGAGGATTTGCTCGCTTCTGACACCAGCCCCTAGTGGATGAGGGTGGAACTGCAGTTTTTGGTACTTCCGCATTGGCCTCAATTTCAGACCCGAATTATGGGGACTTGATTTAAACTCAAGTTTGTTGTGAGCACATATATTTAGTGTAATGACATCTAAATCTATTTAAAATCTTTCCAAATTGTTATCATGAACATTTTTGGTTCCAGTGAAGCCGATCCGAAACCTGAACGGCCACTCCATCGGTCAGTACAGGATACACGCTGGGAAGACGGTGCCCATCGTTAAAGGAGGAGAAGCAACAAGAATGGAGGCAAGTCCTTTTCTCACATTCAGTAAACTGGTCCCATGTGGGAGCTTCAGCTCAACCGGTTCTGGCTTCTCTACTCAGGAGGGAGAGGTTTACGCCATCGAGACATTCGGCAGCACAGGTAAAGGTGTGGTCCACGACGACATGGAGTGCTCTCACTACATGAAGAACTTTGATGTTGGACACGTCCCCATCAGGTGAGGCTAACGATTAAACTATTCTCGAAACATTTTGTTTTTCTGTCGACGTTATTTTTCTTTTGGCAAATCTCCTTTAATTCAATCCTCACCATCGTTTATATCAAATTACAAAATCTGTTTTCAGGCCTGCATGTTTGTAGAGATGCAGAATATATCTGTGTTGGTCCAGTAAGGAAAACTCGGAGGTGTTAAACTATGGGGGCGGGGGCTGATGGGGTACTGGACTGTGGGGGTGTTTCAACTGAAGCAGAAGTAATTGTGTGTGTATTTGTTAGCAGCTCCGCCCTCTCGGTCTGCTAGGCAACACATGCTGTTGCCTAGCAGACCGAGAGGGCGGAGCTGCTAACAAATACACACACAGTCTCACAACGACATTGTGACATCACATGGTACCAGCTAACGTTCTAGGGTACCTCTTAGCCAATAGCGATGGCAGATTTAAATTCAAATGCAGTGCAGGGTTTTTACCTGACGACGGTGCATCGCTGACAGTTTTAGGCACATTATTTAAATTTTAACTAAGATGCACTAAAGTGCCGAATTATTGACTACATTGGTCTACAGCACGATTGGACTCTCATTTATATAGTTTATCAGGAAAAAAAAAGTTGATCTGAGGGTGACTTGCTCTTTAAGAATGTTCCATTTGAAAATCTACAAAGTGATTAACTAGATTCTGAGGTGACTCGGATACTTATCTAGGGCTGCAGCTATTGAATATTTTAGTATTCGCGTATTCTATTGAATTCTCCATCGATGAATCGAATCTTCTGTTTGACGACGTTTCAAGTAAAACGAGATTGTGGTCTGCTGTTAAAGATATAAAATAAAACAGCAAAATTATAAAAGGCTAAATAATGTGCATTAAACTGGTGTTTAGTTCCCTCTTTCCCAGCTGATATTTCTAGTTAAAAAGTATTTTTAGGAACAAAATTGGACTTATATTTCATTAACATTTTAGGTTTTTATGAGCATCACTCATCCTAGTCTAAACTTATCCACATATGATCAGTAGAACTGAATTATTTCATGAACATGTTCAGTAGAAGCTACTGGAAATGCTAACATTTGATTTCTACTGGTAACAATGTAATATATTTTATTATGTACAGGTTGGCAACATAATCCAGTCTAAATTGTATTCAAATGTAGAAGCGTTTGTGAGTCATGTGCTACAACGGCTTGCCGTAGCCCCGCTACGGTGTGTGGAGCAGAGCAGACTGGACTCCCGAGTCGCTGACTCTCAGTGACAACCAGACTCCAGGTAGCTGCGGCGGCTCTGCCCCACACCGCTGCAGGCATCCACATGCAAACGGGATGGTGGGGGTTTAGTTTTTCACAACCATCACGTTTTTTTGTTGTTGTTTTTTTTCGCGCGCTAAGTTAGCTTTAGCAATTCTGGCCGTAGTTTCACTGCTGATCCCAAACTTTGCACCATCTCTGCCTTTTACAACGGTTTTTGTGTTTGCTGGTTCCTCTGTTTTCCTCCTCTGCACCTAGATTTCCACGCTGTGCGCCGGTACAACGTGTTCAGACTGCGGGGTGCACATTTAACGAAGTTTCAAATCAGTCAAATTTAACCGAGGAATTGAATTAATCGAATGACTCGAAGATTCGTTCCAGCCCCGTACTTACCTGTGGCATAGTTTGGTTAAATAATTAAACTTGAGTTTGTGCTTCCGGCATTCAGTCAGAGACGATCACCTTTTCAGTTTCTGATATTTCCAGTTTAGTGCTGAAGTCGCTGAATAAGTCTTTCCTCTCCAGGCTCCCCAGAGCGAAGCACCTGCTGAACGTCATCAACGAGAACTTCGGCACGCTGGCGTTCTGCCGCCGCTGGCTCGACCGCCTTGGAGAGAGCAAGTACCTGATGGCCCTGAAGAACCTGTGCGACCTGGGCATCGTGGACCCCTACCCTCCTCTTTGCGACACGAAGGGCTGCTACACGGCTCAGTTTGAGCACACCATTCTGCTCAGGCCCACCTGCAAGGAGGTGGTGAGCCGAGGAGATGACTACTGACAGCCCTGCCGACCTCCACCTCTCGGCACACGCTCGCCCTCCAGATCCGTGTCAGAATAAGAATAATGGCAGAAAAGAGCTTCTAAAAAAGGGAGTTGGCTCAGCGCAGTCCCGACGTAGCTCGTCTACAGTTCACCTCACATCTTTCCAGGAAGAAGCGGCAGCCTTTAGAGTTTTCTATCAGCAGGGTCTTACCTAGAAAACATGAAAATGTTAAGCACTCATGATATTAAAGCTGCTGTGAATTCAGTGCAGCCCCATTATTTAAAGCATTGGAACTCTCTTATCCTCATTTATTTTCCGTTTCGGAGCCTTTTGTGCTTTAACTCCATTACTGGAGCTGCTGATGGCTTTAAGACATGGTAAGGTCCGTGCACGGCCAAAACTCTCTGCATACAAACCGTTTAAACGCCTGGGGTGTTGTAACCAGCACCGTGTTCATGCAGACACCAAATACCTGCAGCTGAGTGTGTGTGTGTGTGTGTGTGTGTGTGGCGTCTGTCTCCGCAGGAGGGGACGCTGCACTCCGGCCCTCCATGATACCTTATGAATCGGCTGCTGCCACTCTTATGTTCCCCTGGTTAAACGTCATTTGGAACGCTTCCTGGAAATGTTTTTGTAAGAAAAAAAAGATGATTAAAATAATTTTTTGCTCATTAAAGGTTGTTTGTTCTTTTAATGCTTTCAGTGACAACAATAGGCTAATTATATAACTGTAGACTTGGAGGGATTTTAACACCAATAGGTAATATAAAATGAAGGTATTTGGAGATAAATTTTTACCAGCATAGGTTTATAATCAAGCGTGTCGTTTGATATAAAACTATTAGCTACTAGTTCGACTACATCTAATAAACACATACACAGACTCTCAGATGAATTATTTAAAAAACGTGAAAATTTTTGTTTTAACCCAGAAAATCATTGATGTATTAAGATTTTACATTAAGTTAAAAATACTTAAAACTAAATACAACAAAAGTAACCACATTGAATTTTCCTTCACCAATTATTTGTCTAAATGAAAATTACATTACTTGTAATTTGTCACTTGATTCGGTTGATGGCCATTTACTCTGCATATAAGGGATTTATTTGTTTTATTTAGATCAACTGGATGAAACACAAAACTGCTTTAGAATCTGGCGTTGAGAGTGAGGGATTTTCCACCCTCTGCTGGAGAAAAGCAGCTACTACAGCTAAACGTAGATTCCAACATACCGCCTAGTTTTGAAATAAGCATCAACAGTCTAGAAAACGAGGAAGCCAAAAGATTCTCACACAAACTACACGTAAACTTTTTTTGTCCTGGGAATATTACTATTAGGAAGGAGGAGTAGAACGAGAAGAAGGAATTAAGTTAAAGGAGTTATTTAGTAGAAAGACTTCCGTAAATTATTCAAACACGTCTAATCGTAGGACGAGGCTGAAGTTAGCTTACGATTCCAGAAACGACTAAAGGGCCAATACACCCATTTTTTCTCTACTCTGACCATCTTCAATCTGCTCTAGCTCAAAAACTACAACAGCCACACTGTTCAAGATGGCCAGATGCTGAAAAAACGCATAAATATGGCTTTGTTGAAGTTTCACAAATCCCAGACAAGGTTGTATGCCATCTACTATTATTGTAGAATAATCTAGAACAGGTTTGAACAGTCTGGCTGTTGTAGTTTGTGAGCTAGAGCAGATTAAAGATGGTCAGCGTAGAGAAAAATTGGGTGTATTGGCCCTTTAGCCGTCTCCCGAATCGGAAGCAAACTTCAGCCTCGTAATCGTAGGCCAGTTGCGTTGATATCACACATAATGAAATGTTTTCAAGACCCCCTACATCACAGGTGCCAAACTCAGGACCTCGGGCCGCTTTTGCTGCAAAGACTACAAATCCCATAGTGCTTTGCGGCGTTAGCGCGTCTATTGACATTAATTAGCATCCACGCTACTATCGGCTTCAGCAGCCTACAACACTCCTCTCACTCTCACTCAGCGCCGCCTTTATTCAGCAATTAACCGACTTTGAAGCCCGGAATTGGATTTTAACTGCTCAGAAATCTGTTAGCTCACCGACCAACTTCTACACCGAGATGATTTAACTCCAGTTTAGCGACACGCTCAAGTCAGTCTGACAGTTTTTATCTTTCCTCCCGACACACTGACCCAACGGTGGGGTCAAGTTGCTCAGATGCTCTCCACATCCAGCAGCACAAACGTATGTGAGCAGCTGTCGCCTGAAGAAGATGAACAAACAACACAGGAGTGTCACTGATGCAGGTGTCTGGCTGTAGCAGGTGAGCGCCACAGGAATCCGAGTGGAGCAAACTGGGCTTGAATTTTTGTGGTTTTTATGCACCTTTTTTGCTCCAAATCATGAAAGTTAATAGGTGGAATATTGCATTTTCATTTAAGATCCTTTTTTTTTTTGGCCTGTGAAAAATATTTAACCCACTTTATAACGGGAACTGGAACGACTGCAGAAAGATGAAAAGAATAGAAAATCCCCTTATTGTCCCTCAGTGGGGAAAGCTTGGAATCACAGCAGCAATAACATTCATTACAGGAGCAAAAAAAGGAGAGTAAAACAAGAATAAGGAGTAAACAACAAGAACATATACAATTGAAATACTTAAAAGATTAAAAATAAAAAAATGCTTTATGTATTCACAATTTAAGGAATAAAAAAAATAAAAAATGGGGCCACCAATGTGTGTTTTATTTAAAATCGATTCGCTCTTTTTGATTCGATTATTCCACATTCAGTATTGCTGCAAAAATAAGTTTGTTTCTAAACTAAAAGGTTCAACAGTATCTGTAGGTAAAGGAAAATGTGCAGATTTGCTGTCGCTTTTTAAAAAAATATTGAGTTTGGCCCTCGACTTCGGCCCAGTGTGAATTAGTTTGACACCCCTGCCCTAGATGATGCACTTCTGTATCTATAAACACCTCGAAAAAGCCAGCAGCTCGGTTCGACTTTTGTTTGTTGATGTTTCGAGTGCCTTTAACACTATTCAACTTCATATTTTGGTTAATAGGTTATTGGATTTTGAGCTGCACCATTCCACCGCTGCCTGGAATTTAGATGATCTTTTAAATCGGCCCCAGTGTGTGAGGGCGGGGGACAAGTCCTCTTATTTGATTTTAAGGAAATCTGATGCTCCACAGGGGACAGTTTTATTTCCTTTATTTACATTGTACACAGCTGACTACAGTAGGGCAAAAAAGTATTTAGTCAGCCACCGATTGTGCAAGTTCTCCCACTTAAAATGATGACAGAGGTCAGTAATTTTCATCTTAGGTACACTTGAACTGTGAGAGACAGAATGTGAAAAAAAATCCATGAATTCACATGGCAGGATTTTTAAAGAATTTATTTGTAAATCAGGGTGGGAAATAAGTATTTGGTCAATAACAAAAATTCAACTCAATACTTAGTAACATGACCTTTGTTGGCAATAACAGAGGTCAAACGATTACTATAGAGCTCCGGACACCACGTGACTCTCAGTTAGTAGACGCCATATTGGCAGGTAAAAGAAGCTAAACAAACACGGATCTAACCATGAACGTGAACGGGATCGGCTTGGATTTTACTCTGTCGGAGTTTACTTCACACTTTAAAACCGAAGAAATCATTTTATATAGTCAGAAATTAAATAGACTAAACATCTCCGACCCTTACCGTGCTCCTGGGATACTTTTTAAAAACGGCAGAAGTTGTCGGAGTGGGGAACCCCTTGGGATTCCCCCGGAGGAGCTGTCCCAAGTGGCTGGGGAGAGGGAAGTCTGGGCCTCTCGACGCTACTGCTCCCGCGACCCGACTCCGGAGAAGCAGATGTAATTGGATGGACAAATAACAGATTTACACGTAAGTAGTTTAAATAGAGCGCTGTGCTGTTTGAATGTATAAACTGAACGCCAAGAGAAATCACTAGTTTGATTGTTTTCCGTGAATAAAATAAATATGTCAGGCAGGAGCGTCTCAGGATCTGTCTGAGATCTGTCTCGGTGAGACAGATAAGAGCAATCCAAAGTGCTTTTTATGTGTGATCTGACAATTGATCAACCGTTGCTTAAAAATTAAATACAGCTTAGCCGGTTAATTGCTGTGATCATAAAACACGTAAACGGCAGCACGCAGAACTCACGAGGCAACGTTTTACGTGACGTTTACTTGCTGCTATGAGTAATAAGACAGAAAACGTCCCGCCAAAATAAGTTTAGGAAGCCCACTAAGAATCGTAATAAAAGCATTTAAAATAAATACCATACACAGTTGAGGAAATGTTGGTTTAAAGGAGACATAACATGCTTTTAAGTTATTCCTTTTTACATCTAAATCCTTCAGTTGGGGTCTAAATACAGTGGAACTGCAGTTCTTTGGTCTGATTTCCTCATTATTGTTGCTCTACAGACCCTCATCTACCCCTGTTCTGAGGAGAGTCTTGAGAACGAGCCGTTTTTGGGTACTGTCTCTTTAAACTGGAGGAGGAGCTGTAAACTCCGCCCCCCCCTCCATAGTGCAGACCTGTACTCTCCTCCCCCAGCCGGACTTTGTAGTTCTATAGAGAAATCATTATTTAGCATAGCAGATTTGCATTTTTAAAACATGTGGGGAGGGTAGTTCATCAAGCTGTTTCAAGGCTGCTAACTCTCTCATGCATTTGTCTGTAGTCACTCACACACACCCGTCACGGCCGACGGAGGGACAAGCTAGCAGGCACGTGCGCGCGCGCGCGCACACACACACACACAAGGAATGCTGCTTGCTTATTTATTTCTATAAAAAATGTTTTAAAAAATGATACAGCTCATTAAAACACCATTAAAAGAATACATTTTATTAAGATCTCTATATATATATACATACATATAATTATAAATAATTTTATAAGTAGTCTTATTTTAATTTTGGGTGTCTTAATGGCTGAAAATGGATAAAAAGCAGTTACATTTAAATTTAAAGATTTGAGATTCGAGTCAAAAATAAAGAACATTCCTCCAAATGTTCTTTAATGTGATCATTATAATTCTAATGCTTACAACTTTGTTTTTATTGTCTGCAATGCGTAGCCTATATCTTTATTAAATGTGTTTAGCTGTAAAGTGGTAATTCTCTCTAATGTGTACAGAGAGGTGGACATCAGTGCTGCAGTGAAATTCCCAAGATCAGTCTGCTTTGCTAACAAATATAGTTAAATCTTACCTGCATTCTAAATAAATACCGTTAGGTGGAAACATCAGTAGGCATTGAGTTATTGATACAATCCCTAACAGCCAGAATGGAAGAAGAGCATGCTGGGTCATCCTGGACCTGAGCCTGTTCTGTGTATTTACCTACAGGATGCAATAAATGTCTACAAGGCTGAGTTTGGACCATTACATCTAAAAGAAAACATACAATCAGTGATTTTTTTAAATTGTTTACATTAATATACAAATTTTCTAAGTATTAACCTCACAGCAAATAAGTAGAACAATATAATAAACAGGTTTTAGTAGTTAAACAGGCGTTGTGCACACAGGTGCTTTGTGTCTCGGTGCTGGTGGTATCTAGGTCTCAGAGTTCCTGTCCTCCTGCCGTCTTCTGTTGTCCTCAGGATACGGATTGATGTTTCCTGATGATGAGGGAGGGGCAGTATGTGGGCTTCAAACTGGTCCTGGATAACAGTGGGAGACCTCCGTTGTCTGAATACTGAGACCAGAGGGTTGGTGAGATGCAGATCTTCTCTACGTCATCTAGAAATGGAGTTGGTTCAGGGAAAACTTTTCCAAAGACCAGTTCCATGATGTCATCGTCATATTCTGCAATGATAGACAATAACATTAGTGACATATTTTGTTTACAAGCAGCTTTAGGAAAGTTGTTTCTTTAGCTTTCATGTTTATAGTCACGTTTGTGTTTGTTCACAAGTTCACTTTGCTGCAGTGACTTCATATTCTTACAAATGTAATAAAATAGTGACACTAAAATTATACAAATGATTCCTTATGAAAGGAAGCTCATTAGAGAGCAGTGCAGACAGACTTACTACATGCTGCAGCTGTTTTTGTAGGCCAGCTGCTGCTGAATTTGGGGAAAGTTATTCTGCACACATCCAGATCAGATGGTCGATTACAGAAAATAATGTAATTCAATAATTTCTAAACAGATTAAACAAGTAAAACATCAAATAAATCACTCTGCTGTCATCAGACGGAGTGATTCAGGGGGTGAGGTGTTCTTAATGATGAGGGTGGCTGAGGTGTGTCATCACTCACTTTGGTCTGGTCCAGACCGTCTCTTTACTGGTGGGTCTCCTTCCTCAGTAGGTGACGTGAAACGCCAACATCTGAACGTTCTGTGTTCCTTAGAGGAGAAGAAAAGTAACATTAGCAAGCTGGCTAAATTATTTTTTACTAGCATCTCAAGGCCTTGGAGAAGCAGATCTTCACTTACCTAAACATCAGACCAGTTTGTCCCAGCTGAGCTCATCAGGGCGTTAGTCTGACAGCCTGTCAGTGAAACACGGCTCCAGTCTTCTGGATGTTGACTCTAAAAAGCAAAGTAGCTTTTTTACTTTTGTTTTAATTATTTTACAGCCGATTTTATCAGCTTTGCGACGCTCACGCTCATACAGACGGTGAGCTTTGCTGCGTCTGACTGATAAAGTTGGTTTTTATATCTGCAGTGAGACAAAAAACTAACCTCACTTCACTCAGAGATCGTTCTTTAAAACTATTAAATCCACTGTGTTGACGCACTTTAATGACTTTGTCACGCTGCATTTTAGCTGATATGGGACTTTATTTACTGGATGCTAAGATTACATCACACTCACGTAGAATAACACACAGACTCTCTGCTTTTACAATCAGTGGGAGGTTATCATCTGGTGTAAAAGAAGGCGTTGATCAGAAATCACGTTTTATTCCATGAAAATCAGCCAAATCCACATTAATCTGGGTGCTAACTTTACTAGCATACTGTGCTAGCGATAGCAAGCCGGATGCTAACGCTTTAGTGCTGCTAATGCCCGTAAATCTAAAGTAAAGTTTGTCGACATTTTAGAGTGATATGAAGCTTACCGCTCTGCTGCTGTGTCCCGGTGCTGCCACATTCAGATGCAAATGACTCCTTTTAGATAGATGAAGCCCTCAGTACTTACTAGCCTGGAGACACGAACGAACGAACCACGCGCACGCGCGCGCACACACACACACACACAAACACAAACACAAACACACTACTTTTTCTTCTGTGTTTTTTTAGCAGTAGTGTCATCAGCTCCTGGGTTTAAATACTGCCACACCACCCTTCCTTAAAACGAGGAACAGTTTTGAGCTGTGTGTGGCTAAAATAACCAGACATTCTGCATTTTTCCAATAGGACTACAAAAAATCTTAGCGAGAAGAAAAAATGGCGGATTGGCTCTGTGTTTAGCCGAGGGCCATTACCATATTTGGTAGTTATCCTGACTAAATTAATTACTGATGTAATAGATAATGTAAAAACTGAACGGGTGGACAAATATGCCCCAAACTTAATTATTAAATATCTAAATAGCAACTCCAGTGAATAATATAAGCCTTTTTGCTCACTTAGACACTTAAAATGTGAAACACACTGTGTTAAGGGATAAAAAAGTGGGTTTTTCATGTTATGTCTCCTTTAAGTACCTGATATGAAGCGGTCGCTGCATAAGCGAACACCTTTACTCTCGGGGTCCCACAGTTTCATTTTAGCCCGGTCACTAGCGCGTTTTACTACAATGATCCAACGTTTGCGGCGTTCCGGATCTTGGGGAATCCTGTAGATGGCGCATTCCTTATGTCGTCCGCGTCTTTTCTGCATCCTGGGGCACAACAGGAATCTACCATATTTCCTGTCTGAGTTTTCTGACAATAACAAATAGTCCAGCTGCCGGCTTCTACCTGCCAATATGGCGCCGTTTCGATTTGAACTGTTGCATGCCGGGAGAAGTGACGTCAACTCCCGGAGCCATATAGGTCTTTACCAGGTTTGCACACACAGTAGCTGGTATTTTGGCCCATTCCTCCATGCAGATCTTCTCGAGAGCAGTGATGTTTTGGGGCTGTCGCCGAGCAACACGGACTTTCAACTCCCTCCACAGATTTTCTATGGGGTTGAAGTCTGGAGACTGGCTAGGCCACTCCAGGACTTTCAAATGCTTCTTACGGAGCCACTCCTTTGTTGCCCGGGCGGTGTGTTTGGGATCATTGTCGTGTTGGAAGACCCAGCCACGTTTCATCTTCAAAGCTCTCACTGATGGAAGGAGGTTTTGGCTCAGAATCTCACGATGCATGGCCCCATTCATTCTGTCCTTAACACGGATCAGTCGTCCTGTCCCCTTAGCAGAAAAACAGCCCCAAAGCATGATGTTCCCACCCCCATGCTTCACAGTAGGGATAGTGTTCTTGGGATGCAACTCAGTATTCTTCTTCCTCCAAACACGACGAGTTGAGTTCATACCAAAAAGTTCTACTTTGGTTTCATCTGACCACATGACATTCTCCCAATCCTCTGCTGTATCATCCATGTGCTCTCTGGCAAACTTCAGACGGGCCTGGACATGCACTGGCTTCAGCAGCGGAACACGTCTGGCACTGCAGGATTTGATTCCCTGCCGTTGTAGTGTGTTACTGATGGTGACCTTTGTTACTGTGGTCCCAGCTCTCTGCAGGTCATTCACCAGGTCCCCCCGTGTGGTTCTGGGATTCTTGCTCACCATTCTCATGATCATTTTGACCCCACGGGATGAGATCTTGCGTGGAGCCCCAGATCGAGGGAGATTATCAGTGGTCTTGTATGTCTTCCATTTTCTGATAATTGCTCCCACAGATGATTTTTTCACACCAAGCTGCTTGCCTATTGTAGATTCACTCTTCCCAGTCTGGTGCAGGTCTACAATTCTTTTCCTGGTGTCCTTCGAAAGCTCTTTGGTCTTGGCCATAGTGGAGTTTGGAGTGTGACTGTTTGAGGCTGTGGACAGGTGTCTTTTATACAGATAATGAGTTCAAACAGGTGCCATTAATACAGGTAACGGGTGGAGGACAGAAAAGCTTCTTAAGGAAGACGTTACAGGTCTGTGAGAGCCAGAGATCTTCCTTGTTTGAAGTGACCAAATACTTATTTTCCACCCTGATTTACAAATAAATTCTTTAAAAATTCTGCCATGTGAATTCATGGATTTTTTTTACATTCTGTCTCACACAGTTGAAGTGTACCTATGATGTAAATTACTGACCTCTGACATTTTTTAAGTGGGAGAACTTGCACAATCGGTGGCTGACTAAATACTTTTTTGCCCCACTGTATAGGCATAGTTCACCATTTTGTCATTTACAAAAGTTCTCTGATAACACTGCCCTACTGGCCCAGGGGTCTCTTCTATCAAACATTGTGTAGAATCCTTACTAAAACCGTACTTTAGCTCAGCAAAAAAAAAAAAGTGCTTACGCCAAGCAGGTTTGTGATCTATCAAACATGGAGGGCGCACAGCTGCACGCAATCTCCGCTTCATAAATCAGAGACTAACAAGAATGTTTCTCAGCTGCTTTTTAGTCACATCCCGCCCTCACCACGCCCACTTTCTGCCATGAATGGTCAATGCAAACTGCCTTGTGGACCTCATGCATGTACATAAGCCGGCTGTTGCAGCGCTCCACCAAAGCAGTGTTAATTTTGACAGGAAATTTTAATTTTATTTTAGTCTTAGTCTTTTGGCTAAAAATTAATTTTAGTCTCAGTCCAATTTTAGTCATTAGATTTATTTTAGTTTTAGTCCCATTTTAGTCGACGAAAATAACAAGTAATTTTAGTCAACAAAATGCATATATATTTTTCTAATGAAGTAATTTCCTTCTTTTGTATAGAGCACGGAAAAACTAGTGTAATTTAATACACAGGGTCCAAACTCTTAACCACCACTGATCAGATATAGCACACACAGCTAAGAACATAGAATATTTGAATAAAAAACCACTTCACATGTTTAACACTTACGTGTTTAATAAAAAACAAAAAGCACACTGGAAATTACAAAGGTGCTCTTTTTAGCAACTGCACAACAAGAATTTACAAGAACAGTAAATTTAAACATGTTAACCCTGAGTCTGTAGATATTCACTTGTTACAACACAGGCTCAACCAAACAGTGTGAATATTTATTTGCTGCGATTCATTTTGAAAAAAGCACTTCGTGCTAGTGTGACCTTTGCTCGGTTGCGTTTCCCACAGTAGGATTGAGAAAGCAAGCAGCTGCTACAAGTGGGGAAAACGTCATCTGAGGGATCAAGTACCCAGGCAAAACGCTGGTTCACATTCCCTTCCATTTTACGTGCTAGAGCAGCAACATCTCGACTTGTGTTTTGTTCCACATCTGCCAGATGGCTGAGTAAATCAAAGGGAGCAGGGAGTATTAATAACATAGACATTGTGTCACTCTGAAGAGTTTGTGTGTGTTCAGCAAAAGGCTGCAAAAGTTCTTGCATTGACTTCAGCTTCTGCCACTCACTTGAGAGCAAGCAGTCCCATCCCATCTCGTTTGCTACTTCACAAACAGATTCTTTAACTTTGAGGAGACGTGCAACCATTTCATAAGTACTTGACCAGCGTGTGGGGCAGTCATTCACAACAGTTAGGCCGCACTCATCCAAAATCTTCTGTGTTGCGACTGATGACTTGCGAAAAAGTTTCACGATTGATCGGACTTTGTTCAAGACTCTGTTGATGCTTTCCTCCTTGTTTATCACGTGGACAACAAGCTGCAGCGTATGGACGACACATGGCATCCTGTCCATGCCCATGTCCTGACACTGCAGGTTTTCTGTCTGCTTGGAGTCACTTTCACTTAGGATGGATGCATCTGGATCATCGGAGCTGGAATCTTCATCTTCTGGAGCACGATGTTTGAATGCTGCCACCATATTGCTACCATTGTCTGTTATTACGGTGAGAACTTTCTCATTTAGGAGCCCCCATTCTTGCATGCACTTTTCCACACAAGCCTTAATGGACTGGGCAGTGTGTGGATGGTCAAGTTGTTCAAGAGCTAACAGTAAGTGTTCTGGTTTTTGTTGTTCAACACAGAATAAGCAGCAACTTATGCCAAGGAATGATGCTGTCAGTCCCTTTTTAGTCCACAGATCAGTACCAATACATACTTTTCTGGCACTAGACAGTCTTTTCTTAAATGTAGCTTTTTTGTTTTCATAGTGTTTTTCAACTAGATTACTTATCTTGGTTTTCTTTGGCACAGTAAACTTCTTATCCAAACTTTCCATCATCAGAATAAAATCCTCATCTTCTACTGTTGTGACCGGCAATCCTGTACATCCAATCCATGTAGCGATAGCCTCTTCTTTAATTTGTTGTTCTTTGGCATCACTCTTGTACTTTGTAGTACTTGTAAATGCGTCCTCAATGTTCTGGCTGGACATTTTTGCCTTTTTGTTAGCTGGTTGGCCACCATCAGCAATGGTTTTCTGCAACTGCAAAAAAATAAAAATACACAATTAAAACATTGACTTTCTAAAAATGATTTACCTGTTGCTTTTTGAGATTTCATACATATATATATATATATATATATATATATATATATATATATATATATATATATATATATATCGTAATAAAACGAACCTGTAAAACATCTGTGCGGGGTCGGATCATATCAGTGCAAACCAGACATTGTGAAAATTATAAACAGCCAACAGCATTAGGGCTGCAACAACGAATCGATAAATTCGATGAAAATCGATTACTAAAAGCGTTGGCAACGAATTGCGTCATCGATTCGTTGTGTTGCGCAACTCTTCCAAAAGCCCCCTCCCCTTCCGCCCGCCGTTGCGCGCAGACCGGTGGAGAGCCAGCAGGTGTTTGTAAGAGGAACATGGCAGAAGCAGCGAGACCCCAAAAAAGTAAAAACTTCTAAAGTTTGGGAGCATTTTCAGTTAAATCAGGCGAAGACATGCAACGTTTGTAGGTCAGACTTAGCATGGCATGGGAGTACTACGGTGATGATGCAGCGTCTTAAACGCAAGCATGTCAGAATCATCAGCGAGGAAGGAGAGAGCTCTGTGTCCGGGTAAGTTAAAAACTTTTCAAGTGATTCACCCAAGCCCCGGATTATTACACAGGCTAGACATGCCCTAAGCTCGTAAAAAAAAAAAAGTCTATAAAATCGTAAGCGAGAGGCCATTAGATAGGCGGGGGGGGGGGGGACTCGTGCTGCTGCAAACCGGTTCTGCCGTCACATTCCTGCAGAAACTGGTTGTTCACACCGGGGCCAGACTACTAACATGTGGCTTTACAACCACAATGTCCTCAGAAGCGAAAACGCTTTTAAAAGGGAGGGAGGAGTCCTAACTGTTGCTGCAGGCGTGTTGTGAGTGAGTGCAGTTATATACTGGTTCATATATTTTTGGGTTCAGTTGCTTTCATGTGGCCTAATGTGAGTCTATTTGGGATCATTGGAATGATCAGCAGCATTTCTTGATGTGACTTTATGGCAGTTGCCCAGGGCATCATCACAAGGAGGATGGCATTCATTTACTTTTGTTTTATTTGGTATCTTTTCAGTCATTTTTGGAAATAGTGATTAATTTTGATTAATTCACAGTCTTTGTTTAATTACATTTAAAAATTAGTTGTTTGACATCCCCAGTTATAATAAATGTCTACAGATGAGATCAAACAAAACAGATGAGAATTCCCCTTAAAGAGCAAGTCACCCCCAAATAAACTTTTTTTTGCTGATAAACTAAATAAATGAGTGTCTAATCGTGCTGCAGACACGTGTTGTCAATAATTTGGCACTTCAGTGCATCTTAGTTCAAATTAAAATATTCTGCCTAAAACTGGCAGTGTTGTGCCGTTGTCAGGTAAAAACTCTGCACTGCATTTTAATTTAAATCTGCCACCGCTATTGGCTAAGAAGTATGCTATGATGTAAACTGGTACATTATGATGTCACAATGCTGTCGTGAGCCTGGGTGTGTGTGTATTTGTTAGCGGCTCCGCCCTCTCGGTCTCAGGCAACAGCATGTGTTGCATTTTTCAAACATGAAGTGGGAGTGGAGTTAGACTCTGGTAGGGGTTGACTTGCTCTATAAGCTGTTTAACTTGGACAAAAGCATTTTAGGTCACAGATAGGTGTAGCTTAGGGTCTCTGTCTATACACCTTATAAGACAATTTAGGTGATGGCATGTTGTTTTTCTGCTATTGAACTGTTTTCTAATAATGTGTTTAATAAAGTGAAGGAAGGAGAAAAATAACGTTTCCCTAGCAGTTTTTAAAAATGTCCCTATGTAATCCGATTAATCGATTAATCGTGTCGAGAGCCCATCCGATTCATCGATTATCCAAATAATCGTTTGTTGCAGCCCTAAACAGCATGCTTCACTTTACTGGTCTAGTCCTGGTTTAGAGCGCACGTACAGCGAGCGGCTGTGACCCAAAAAGTACCAGAACCGCTCACGGCGCATGCGCAATCATGCATCAACACTGCTCGCCCGCTATTTCCCTAATGACACACGTTGTAGTCGTGAAAATACGGTACTTCCGAATTTTTATCCCAACATGACAGAGTTGATACAGTTTTATTTGCCTGTATATTACTTTTCGGGTCGTCACGTGTACATTTAAGTGGATTTACCTCGGAGAAAATGGCGAAGTGGCCATTCTGTAGATGCCTCTTCAGATTCGTTGTGTTCTTTCCTCGGAACGACAGTCCACACTCTCGGCATGTAGTTTTGGTAGCAATGTTATCATAAGAAAAATGACTCCACACATCTTCTCTTCTTTTTCGCCCAGCAGTTAACATTTTCCTCTACTCCTTCTTCTTATGCCGTCGATATAGTCAGTGAGCTATGTTTAGCACACCGCGCATACCTGCCCCTTTATACTATTCGGGGTCTGTCTTCTCTCACCTCCAGCACGTTCATGGCACGCCACACCCCTTGTCTTCTACTACGTTCGCGTCTCACAACAACACAATAGTCGCACCGCACCATAGAGCGCCATGTAGAGGAGCGTCATCGTGGATTTTCGTCTCGTCTTTCATTCGTTGACTAAAAGTTTCAATCAATTTAATTATCGTCTTCGTCTTTTTCCAAGCTTTTATTTTGAATTTTTGTTTCATTTTCGTCTGTAAATATATTTTCGTGACGAAAAAAAAAGACGAAAATATTTTGTCAACAAAATTAACACCGCACCAAAGACAATGGCGACCGTAGATCAAGGCAGATCAAGGAAGCTCTATTTCACAGAAGCAGAAGTTGAGGTACCTGTGGGTGAGGTGGAGAAATGAAAGGAAGTGCTTTTGCAAAACTAATAAGGGAAAATCTGCAGAGTGGCACAGCGTTGCTGAAGCCGTCAATGTTGTGAATTCTTCAGAGAGATCTGTGGCGGATGTAAAAAAAAGTGGTCCAATCAGGATTTGATCCCCAGACTCCCAGGTGAAAGTCACGCGCGCTAACCATCTACCTTGTCCAAGTTGCCAGGGCGCATGATCAATCGGGTCACAATGACAGGACACACTATCACAGATGCATGACATTCTGTCTCAATCTGTCCCCCTGCTGATATTCTGCGCTTCAGGCTGTGTGTGTGCGCGCATGTGTGTGCGTGTGGGGGGTCTTGTTCTGTGTGAAAACGAAGCGGTACAAGTGATGATGCTGCAGGATTTCATAAAGTTATCCTTCTCAGCAGCAGTGCTGCAGGTGCTCTCCATGTCCAACATGTGTGTCCAACATGTGTGTAAGCCAGGTCCTTAGTCAGCTTAAAGTTGCGCACATTTATCCGCTAAGTTTTCTTTCATAAATCCCAAAGTTTGCGTGGAAAGTTGCTCACGCAGTTTTCCGACCCCGTTTTGTGCATAAGCAAGCTTGATGAAGGAGGCCCTGATCTCTCGGGGTGACGACCTGGCTTACAGGGAGGACGATAACTCCTTTGTTAGATGGTGTGATCCCAATTTCCTACAACTTAATGTTGGCAAAACACAAGAGCTAATCATTGACTTCAGGAAGAAAAAACAAATGTTCTCTCCTGTGGTCATCAAAGGCAAACCTACTGAACTTGTTGAGTCATACGAATATTTAGGGGGTGTACGTTGACAGCAAGCTACACTGGAAAAGGAACAGCCCAGATATTTTTTCCTCAGGGCGCTGAGATCCTATGACATTAGCAGCAGGCTCCTGAATGTCTTTTACCAGGGGGTTATGGCCAGTGTGTGGTTTTCTGCTGTATTGTGACGGGGCAGGAGCCTCACAAAAATAGAATCAACGAACTGATCAAGAAACCTGGCTCAGTGGTCGAACAAAGTTTGGACTCAGTCGACATTATCACAGATAAAAGGATGACGAGCAGACTTGAGACTGTCCTGCCTCTCAAGGATCGCCCTCTCCACGATGTTTTTAATGAACTTGAGCTCTTTCAGGGGAAACGTTAATGCCTCGATGTTCGACTGAAACTTTTATTCCTGCTGCAGTGCGGTTTTATAACGAGCACTATGTGCAATCTTATATTTGATGTTGATATTGTTGTTCTTCTAATGCGGTGGAACCATGATTGTGATACAGCAGTCAAGTATATGTGGATTTTTTTGTGTCCATTACAACTCAATTTCCTCCTCGGGGATTAATAAAGTAAACCTTGAGTAGAAAGAGAAGAACTGGGTTTATAAAGTTAAGTTATTTATGGTAAATGGTCTGTATTTGTATTGCGCCTTCTTAAGGTTCTACAACCCCCCAAGGCACTTTACAACACAGTCATTCACCCATTCACACAATGGTGATGATGAGCTACAATGTAGCCACAGCTGCCCTGGGGCACACTGAGAGGCGAGGCAGCCACCACTACCAGGCAAGGTGGGTTAAGTGTCTTGCCCAAGGACAGCAGCATTCTCCGGTCTGAGCCGGGATCAAACCTGCAACCTTCTGATTACTGGGCAACCCGCTCTACTGCTCTGCTATTTAGTAGAAACACGTCTTCTAAACACGAAATGTGATGGAGAGCCAGTGAAGACGTCCCAGGACTGGTGTAATATGGCTATGTCGACTTGTGTTTGTTAAAAACCTAGCAGCGGCATTTTGGACAACCTGCAACCGGTTCAGGGCAGAGACAGGAGTTCCAACTAATAATGCGTTAGCGTAGTCCAAGCGAGAGGTGATGGATGACTGGTTCCAAGAATGATTCCAAGTGCTTCCTCTTTAAGATCGGTCTTAAACGAGATAGGCGGCGTAACTGACACAACATGCCACCCAGCTCCTGGTGCAAGCTACTGTCATCTCCCGCCTCGATTACTGCAATGCCCTTCTAACTGGTCTTCCAGGCTGTACTGTGAGACCTCTTCAAATGGTCCAGAACGCAGCGGCGTGTCTGGTCTTCAATCAGCCAAAAAGAGCACACGTCACCCCTCTGTTCATTGAGCTCCACTGGCTACCGCTAGCAGCACACATCAAATTCAAATTGCTAACACTAGCATACAAAGTCCGAGATGGTACGGCTCCCATCTACCTGAATCCTCTTGCAAAGGCTTACGTCTCGGCCCGGCCGCTCCGGTCGTCACAGGATCGTCGGCTAGCAGTGCCTACACCACGCTCAGGACAATCCAGACTCTTCTCATGCATCGTTCCACAAATGTGGAATGACCTTCCAAGCACTACCAGAACAGCGGCTTCCTTTTCAATTTTCAAGAAACTCCTGAAGACCCTGCTCTTCAGAGAGCATCTTCTAAACTAGCACCCTCCCTGCACCCGTCCCCCCTCTCTACCGTCCACTCCTTGTTCCCTCCTCTCCATGATTGATGTCAAGTTGTTATTGTTGTTAGCCTCAAGGGCAACATGCCGATTATCACTTGTAAGTCGCTTTGGACATAAGCGTCTGCTAAATACATAAACTGATAAAAATAAGACCTCACCACTGAGTTGATCTGTGGAGTCATTGAGAGGTTGGCATCCACTTTTACCCCGAGGCTTTTTACACACTGCTTAGGATTTAGACCATCAAAAGTGGAATGAGAGCCAGAAGGATTGCGGGTATCAAAGACTCAGTCTTTAAATCACTCAACCTGAGGAAATTGGCCTCTAGCCAGCCCTTTACGTCAGCCAGGCATGCCGCAAGACGAGAGTCCACATTACCATTTTTTAGTGCCTCATATATTTGACAATCGTCAGCATAGATGTGATAATTAAGACTGTGTCGATTTAGGATTTTGCCCAGTGGTCGGAGATGGAGAAAAGAAGAGGCCCCAGAACAGAGCCCTGCGGTACACCCCAAGACAGAGAGAGGAGGAATGTGAAATTTGCTCCCTGTTTTGGTAAAAACATAAAACAGCACAGGTTTCTTTTTAACTTTAAATACTTCAGATAACTCAGTTATTTTACATAAGTCCACATTGTTAAACAATTGCGCTTGCCCTTTTAAATAAAAAAGGCAACTTTACAGAAAAAGTGAAAAAATAATCTCATTTATTGAGGTATCCTTTCCAGAAAAAATGAGGTAATAATTTGCATAGTATAATTTCCATAAGATTTACACACAAACACATGAACCATTGAGTAGTAACTGAAATGCCAAATGAAAAAAACCCAAACTCAATACAAAGGGAAAAAGAAAGAAGAGTACTTTAATTCTCTTCTGGTGAATAAGAAAAAAACAAAACAGTATGATCAGTAAAAACTGCTGGTGATGTTCACGAATGTTTGAGTACAAAATTTTAACAGTTGATTTTGTAAAACCTCTGAGGGCTGAATAAAAATACATTCATGACCTAAATGCTGGTTTATGTGGACCGCAGCAATGCAGGTTCCACTTCGTACATGCTATAAAAATAGTCCTGCTTTATCATTGAAGGGGCACTTTTCTAACATTAGGGGCAGATTCCCCCAGTTACATTGTGTAGTAGAAAGATGGCAGCAGACAGCTAAAACGTATCCCTTTGGAAACTTTCTCCCGTCAATAATCTCCCATCAATAAAAACAGCAGGAGGCAAAACCAATCTGGTGTTAAACCGTATCAGAAACGCTGAGCGGGTTTCCCCACATTCAAATTCAAAAATATCGTTCCCCTCAAGGCTTTGGCTGGAAGTCTGCTTGAGATCTAGAATAACTCCAGAGAAGAGAATCTTTAAAGCCACCAACAGAGCGACACGAAAGCTATCAACTGTAGAAATTAGTGCATTTCTGGCAGGAAAAGGACCAAAGTGTTGGCTGTCGGAGCACATGGAGGACATTTCCACTGATTGAATATCATGTAAATAACTTACATCCAGTTCTGTGTCAACTATCTAAAGTGACTGAGAAACATTTCAGCTGATTCAGACAAACAGCGTTTACATTAAACTAGCCAGCAGAAGGGTCTGCTCTGCTACCGTGACACATCTTGGCTGATACTCTCTTCTTTACAAAATACATATGTACACAAATCTTTACATAAATCAGGCAAACCTCTTCTTTTAAAATACCTACATATAAAAACATCATATACAGGAAGTTCACAAAACAAAGCAGATTTCATAAAGAAGTCCTTTCTCCGCATTTAGAAAAATAGATTAAAAAAGTCCCATCCTGCTGGGTTAAAATGAAGAGCGATAGGTCGGGCTGTGCTGATATTGTCTCAGTGAGTGGTCGACGGAGGGTCGCGGTCCTATAGCGGCCGGTCTTTGTCCTGAGTTACCCGCCGTGTGTAGAAGAGGATGTAGGCCTGTGCTCGGCAGACCTCCTCCACTGAACACACGTCCAGCTTGGAGTCATTACAGTGAACCCAAAAGCCTGGAGGAGAGGAGGAAAAGAAAATTTAAGTTGAACAATTAAGCCTCGATTACACAAAGAACTGGAGTAATCAAACAATAAATATATTTGTTTATATCTTAACAAGCCCTTCATTATTCATAATAAATGATTAAAACTAATAAGCTCTTAACTCATTTGCTGCCAGCGTTTCTCACCGTTTTTACTGTTTTTTTAAGGGTCACAGAACGTTGCGCGCTAGGATGATGTCGACGCCAAAACAACCAAAACAAAGCGGAGACTCACCTCTTACATCAGAACGAATCAGCGCGTTTCGAGCGTATTCTGTTCTTTCATAATCCGTTGTTGAATTGTGATCGGCAGAAGATTTTCCGGTTCACGCCTCACTTTTTTTTACAGCAGCGGCCCAAAACGATCTAACACATGAATGTTCTGCTTCATGATCACGTGACGTGTGACGTATGCGGATGAAGATCGGCTTTAGAGCGGAGATGTTTGTTCTCACGGTGCGGGGGCTCGTCCGACACCCACACAGTAAAGACATGCAAATGACGACATCATTTGCAGTGAATGAGTTAAATGTGTGGAGAAACATCTGAACTTTATTTTCGTTAATGAAAGCGACTCTAACTCCGGATAAGCGGAAGAAAATAAATGGATGGATGACGAAAGCAACATGCCTAACTTGTTCTAGTTTGAATGCAAGTTAGTATTGATAAAATAGCACAAATTATATTTTTGCAATGCCTCTACTTAAGCGTGTTAAACTCATTTAATCAATACATTTGGAGTGGTCTCTAGTAGGAATGAATGTCTTGTAAGTCGCCACGCCTGAAACTTCAACGCTGTTGGTGCTCAAGAGCAGAACTGGGTTATTTATAATAATTCTGTTCGTGAAAACTTACAACACTGCAGTCCTATAGTATGGAAAAACATCATTACATTTAAGTAGGTGGACTTTGCCAAAATATACATTTAAAGACACTAAGTTGGAGGTCTGATAACAAATAATGAATTAATTTTTCTACACTCAACAAAAATATAAAAGCAACACCTTTGTTTCTGCTCCGATTTTTCATGAGATGGACTTAAAGATCTAAAATTCATTCCAGATACACAATATCACCATTTATCTCAAACGTTGTTCACAAATCCGTCTAGATGTGTGATAGTGAGCACTTCTGCTTTGCTGAGATAATCCATCCCACCTCACAGGTGTGCCACATCAAGACGCTGATCTGACATCATGAGTAGTGCACAGGTGTACCTTATACTGCCCACAATAAAAGGCCACCCTGGAATGTGCAGTTTTTTTTTTTTTGCTTTATTGGGGGTCTGGGGACTCAGAACCGGTCAGTATCTGATGTGACCACCATTTGCCTCACCTGAGCACCATGACGTCTGAGACTGATGCATCAGTTATATATATTTTTAGTAACGTGGTTATTTTAAACGGCGTTATTCCCATCACTGCTCTGTTGCATCTACAGCAGGCAGTGACTGAGACAGTGAAAACACTGAGGGTCTCCGCCCACCCGGCCAATCATCATCGTGTTTGTAAGTGCGTTACCGACACCTCTCTCTCTCTGGCTGCAGCTGAAGTGTGGCGGTCAGAAAGCCTCACACTGTTGCTCAACGTTTGACAAGCACATAGTAACGCACAACCTTCCATCCCCAGTAACGGTAACGGCGTTGCAACAGTGGGAAAAGTAATTAATTCGATTATTCCGTTACCCGAAAAAAGAACGCTGTTATACTTAAACGTCGTTACATCACTGATGGTCACGCAGATGTGTCATGAGATTTGAAGCGTTGCTGCCTTTCACAGACACTTTTTCTGCAAGTGCTGCAAACAGGATAGCCGTCTTCTATCCGCTGTCCCTCGGCATTCTTCAGATATCCAAAAAATTCCCGTACTTCCCACTTTGTCTTCTTTGAGGGATAATAAATGCCCTGAGCACTGCCGTCTCCTCCTTTGGCCATTATTTCAGCTTTAGCTTCAAGAAAATTTTGGTTGTAAACAACAAAGCGCGCATGTGCCGCCGGCAACTTCAGCAGATGATACGGTGGCTGGTAAGGGTCACGGCGCCTACACCGCAGCCACGGTAATCCACCGAGATAATATAGTTTTAAAAAAACAAGACGGTTATTATTATTGTCAACTTTTTTACCGGGGTTTACCGCTACACCGGTTACCGTGACAACCCTAGTCTACAGTGTGATAAAATGCTACAAGAATTATTACAAGTTCACATTTGATGTTTTTCAGGTTCTTTTATGAAAGAAACTGAACCTGGTTTGTTGCTAAACAGGAAATGATGTTTATTATAGCGACGGGTTCAAATTTTCTTCAAAAAACTGCTCGAGGTCTGGCTGTAAACATAAAAACCTGAGGGAAAACATGAAATAACCAATCGTAGTAGAGCCCTTCCAGCCAATCAGAGGCGAGAAAGGTGGGACCTTCCTTGGACATCCTACAATTCCAAATGACACCCCCTGGGCCAGAATGCTACCAAGGTTCAATATGGTCACAATGTTTGAGGTGTGCACACAGCACTGCATTATCCACTTTGGTATTTTGCAAAAATCAATCTTACTTCATTTTTTATGATTATTTGATATTTTAAGGTTTTATTAGATGGTTTTATTTTGCCTGTACTCAAACTCAGAAAAGCCTGATCACATTTTTCTCACCTCCTTCTGTATTGTAGCAGTAAGCCGTGTAATGGCCAGAGCCGAAGCCCTTCCCATGATGCATCACCACAGCAGAGAGCTCGTAGAGGAAGTGCTTTGGGCGCGGCAAGCCGACCGAGCTGGAGCTACTGGGAGCAGAGCAGGGCACGCTTTTGGGTGGAGATTCTCTGCAGCAGTAAGGCTCCATGTTGAGAAGCTGGTCAAAGCTGACATGGACTCCTATCTTCTCTCTGTGGTTCCGCCCAGACCATCTGAGGATTAGTCACAAACCAGAGAGCTGACAGTCGGCCAACGTGCTGCATCAGAACAAGATCAACCCTTGACCCCGAGTCATGTGTGACATCATCCTACCTGAAGCGCTTGAGGTGAAGCCTGAGGACCTGAGGCAGTTTATAGACCATCAGCTGTTTCTGTGCTTCAGTTAGGGTGACGGGTTTGGAGGAGGTTCGGCGTTTGGCTGCTGCAGACACGAGGTAAGAGGAGCGTTAGCACAACAAACCACCTCTTACTACATTCAGTGCGTTTACATGCAGCCAGTAACCCTTTTAAAACCCGAATATTCACAATAACCCAGTTCCGCAGGTCCTTGTAAACACCGCCAAAAACCCGGATATGCTCATAACCGGGTTTTTAAAAACCCGGTTACTACACCTGGGGTAACCCTTTTCTAACCCGAATGTTTGGTCGTGTAAACGCATACCGGGATATCCCCATCAAAGCGTGTGTTCTGCGCATGCTCTGTTCGCAAGGAATCTTGGTCTTTTGAGTAGCGAGACGTCTTGTATGCGCCAGAACACCGGAAGTAAACAAGTTGGGAGCAACATGGCGAGTCGCGGCACAGCACCACACTTTTGGAGTGACGAGGAAACTAAAGCGCAAACAAACGCGGTCGCTATCTCTTCCGAACTGGGAAACATGTTGTTGTTTTCACGGATACCGGAACAAGAAGAACCGGAAATGACGCATATTGCGTCTGGACGTAGTCCACAGGTCCTGACGCTACCCCAACGCCCGCATTTAAATCAGGTTATGCAAGTTAGAGGTAACTCTTTCTATTTATGCTTGTAAACGGGTTATTCTGATCAACTCAGAAACCCGAATACCGACCTTAACCCGATCATAACCCGGATATTGGCTGCATGTAAACGTAGTCATTCATGTGAACAGAGGTCACACAGTTTGACATGAAGGTGTTAAAGTGAGAGCTGCTGAGTTTAAACCACAGCTGGGACGATCAAATATTCACTCGCTTTTCCACTGCATGATGTAACCGACTGGAGGAAAACAAATAGCTTCAACATATTTTATGTGGGAAGGAATAAATGACAATAACAACACATGATGCAAATGTGTTTAAGGGAGTTTTCCTCTCCACAGTCGCTACATGCTTAGTATGAAGATTGCTGTAAAGACAAGGACACAAGTCAGTGACTCGATGCAATCTGCTGGGTTCCTTATAGAGCACGTGTCACACACAAGGCCCGCGAGATAAATATCAAAAATATATTAAAAATGACCCGCTGGCCGATTTTACAGCGAAGACTACAACTCCCACGATGCTTTGCGTCATTAGCGTGCAGCCGACGCGCCCCCTCCTTTGTGTTTTTCCAGCGCCTGCTGCCGGTGTCAGCAGCTCCGCTGTCTCGGACAAACTATACTCCTCTCACTCAGCGCCGAGTTTACTCAGCTGTTTTCTGACGTTGAAGCCCAGAAACGGAGATTCTAGCCGCTCAGTAATGTGTTCACGACTGAAAGAGAAAGTTTTCCTACTAACGTCCAGACAGAGCTGGTATAACTCCAGCGAGCAGCGACACGCTCAAACCAGCATGACTCTGTGGTTGTGTTTCCTCCCCGACACACAACAACGTGGTCAAGCTGCTCAGACATGTTCATCAGCACAAACCTATGTGAGCACCTGTTGTCATCTAATGTTGTCATTATTATGATGAAGATGAACAAAACAACAGGAGTCTCCTCCTCAGCTCAGATCAACCCCATGATGCAGGTATCTGGCTGGAACAGGTGAGCATCACAGTAAACCAGTGGAGCAAACTGAGCTTTAAATATGTTGGTTCTATGCTCTTTTTCTGCTCCAGAACATGAAAGTTAACAGGTGAGATGTTGCTTTTTCATTTAAGATAAAATGATATTTTATTTTGTTGTTGGCCCGTGAGAAAAGATTTAACCTACAGTAAACAGGAAGTGGAAAGGCTGCAGATAGATGAATAGAATAGAAAATCCCTTTATTGTTCCTCAGTGGGGAAAGCTAGACGTCACAGCAGCGATGACACGTATTACAGGAGAAAAAAGGAGAATAAAAAATAAGAAAAATGAATAAACAAGAAAACATAAATCCTGAATAGATTTTAAAAATGCTGATTATACCACAAGTAATGAATACCACTGATGCCTTTTATTTAAAACCGACTTGCTCGTGTGTAATTTGGTTATTCCACATTCAGTGTTAATGCAGAAATATGTTTGTTTCCAAATTTAAAGGTTCAAATTACATACATGTTGATAAAGAAAATGTGCAAATTTGCCGTCACTTTTTCAAAAAATGTTAATGTTTGGCCCTCGACTCCGTCCCAGAGTTTCATTTCGGCCCCGTGTGAGTTTGAGTTTGACACCCCTGATGTAGAGGAACCTTTTAACTGACTGGCTTAATGAACTGAACTGGATTGAAGTGTTTGTGAAGTGGCTTGAGACGGCTCTTGTGACGCGGTGCTACAGGAATGAACTGAATTGAATGTCTGGGGCAAGTATTGTGAAAAAGACGAACTGAACAGGTGAGACTCACAGTTACACTGGTCACAAGCGTAGATATTTCCCTCCAGGGCTTCAGTTTCTGTAAACTTTGCCAGCATCTCCGTTAGATGGCAGGAAGCCTGCGCGGCCGACTCTCTGTTGTTACTGTGATACCGCTCAGGGAACTCCAGCGAAAGGTCCCAGAAAGGCTCCACGGTGTTGGAACGATGGCTGCAGGCCAGGCACGTCACCTGTAAACGAGGGTCAGGGTTGACTAGGGAACAGTGTAAAACTAGATGATCTCCAGGTGCACGAGTCCCTCCTCATTTTTAAGATTCTATAAAATCTAAAACAGAAACAGCCAGGACTCGGCGGACATTCCACATGAGACCTGTTGAGCCGGTGCACGATCTTCCTTCAGAAGTCCGGCGTTGCAGTAATATTACTATCAAGCTTGGCGACACCAATGCCACACAGAGAAAAGAAATGAATGTGCCTGATAAAAATGATCAAAAATAATTAGGGATCATCATATATTTCTAAGAATTATGAGACAAATTCACACTCAGAACACCAAACATGGAAACATCTGAAAATATTCCAGAATACTGCAATCATCCCTACAAGGTTATTGTTATGGGTCATGAATGCAGCTGCAGGTAAATGTAGCTTCATCTCAGCTATTTGCTTGAATACTTTAATAAACCGCTGCTAAGGGCAAATTGCTGATCTGACTCTTTAATGCAGCAGAAATGTTGCAATATTACGAAATGATGTCATCACGCGTCTCCTCCAGCATCCTTAAATCTTCTGGTGCCCAGATCCATGAACTGGGGTTTGTTTTAAACGAGTACGACTGTAGCATACTGGCGGCCATTTCTTACCAGAAACAGTGTTTATGTTACTAATATTACTGATGATGTTTACTCCGAACTCAACTCCAAAACAACAACAACAATAAAACACGACCAGCCTCGGGAAAAATCTATAAAGGTAAATCTTGAATTAGAGCGACAGCACTCATACTCACTGTGAGCGCCGCTCTGCCTCATCGTCTGCAGCGTGCTGTCTCTGACTGTGATTGGTCAAGTGATGACACGTGACTAACACACTAGAACAAAGATTGTTTGTGAACAAGAGGAGTCTCCTTTCCTTTCTGATTGATTTCCATAAGAGTGACTGGAACCCATCGCTGAAACCCGACAGAAGACCCCCCCCCCCCTCCTCAAAAAAACTCTTCGGATCTACACGTGAACGCCCCATTTGGCTTCAAAAGCGGCGATTTTCGCCAGAAGGCGACAAGTTTGCATGTAATTAAATGGCAAAGCTGAAAATTTTTAAGAAAAAGTTATGCCCTATCAGAGTCTTACGCCACCCACACATCCAGAATGAAAACTGCATCACAAGGAGACATCGCCTGGTGGACAGGGAGGACGGGTCTGCAGTGCTGAGTGTCAGACACGATCCATTTTATACGTCGGTTGTTGCAATCGTAAACTCAATCTACGGCACATAACGAGGCATCTACGTATTCAAGCACACACATACCAGCACACTTACTTAAACAGAGCAATTAAACATGCACACACACACACACCCAATTAAACGGAGCTGCTCACACACGTGTCTATAGCTCTGACAGGACATCAGCAAAAAAGTAGATTTTGGGGTAACTTGCTTTTTATTATGATTGTTTAACCTTCTGTTATAAAGAATAGCTGCTGTTAAGTACAAATGTGCACATACCAGGGTATCTGCAGGTTTAAGGGAGCCAAATTTAAGACTTTTTAAGACCTTTTTTAAAGCCACTTTGACCAAATTTAAGCTATTTTAAAATTTTAATTTAAGCTATAATTTCCAGCTATTGCCTGGAACCGGTGCTAACCACGTCGTGAACGTGGGGTTAACCATCCAGTTACCATTAATGTTGCACTTCCCCATGGCGCACGCTCCCACTAGCTTAACCAGCTAATGTGCTCATCTAAAAATAGCCCCCTTTCACAACCAACTGAATGTGTACGGTTCCGCTTACGCCAACATCGTACACAAAAAATGCTTAACACCAACTAGAAATTCACAAAAATTTCTATAGAAATAAAAGATTCTTGTTTAGTGGGCCTTTGGTAATTTAAGACCTTTGGAAACTGGATTTAAGGATTATTTGTAATTTTTACGGATTTTCAAGGCCTTAAATTTGGAAAAGCAAATTTAAGACTTTTTAAGGACCCGCGGATACCCTGACATACTCTGACCCATTATGTGGTTGGTTGGTTTAAGGCTGTGTGTGTTGGTCGTACTTGGCTTAGAAGTTGGCCATGAAAGATGGTGTTAACCACGCTGAGAACCTGCTTGATGAGCCGCTTCTGTGGGTCTCTTGTAGTCGTGTGCGTTCCTGTGCTCTCCAGCTCGTGCTGCACCTTATCCAAGAGCTCACACAGGAACTCCTGAGCGTCTTGCTGCACGTAGCCCCTGAACGCAGGAATCAGCTGCCAGACTGAGTGAAGCATGGCAAAAGGTGATACCAGCGCCCATTTGCCAGACCACATAACTTGAAACAAGGTGTGCAGCTCGTGGCAAAGTGAAATGTGCTTGGAACTGGGCTCTTTGGGTTGTATCAGCTCCATGCTGCGGGCTCGGGAGGCCCCGCCACTCAGACCTGCACCAGAGCCCAAGCTGGTCTGGAGTCCCTTCCTTTGGTACAAGGCGGACTGTGATGAGGACTTTTCTGCCAGCTGGCCATGGACCGCAGAAGCCAGGAGCTCCAGTGCCTGAGCCAGGTCCAGACGCAGAAAGCACTCCCTGAACACTAGTAGGTGACTCAGCACCTGAAGGATGGAATTCATATAACAAGTGTTGCCTAAATTCCTCAGGCCAGTCACCCCAGGAGTAACTGTGGGACGTTGTTTGAAGGGGGAGCCATTTTGTTTGGTGCTCTGCTTCCGGCGGACAGGGGTCTGGGCGATGTGAGGGCTTGCAGAGGACGTTTTGGGCTTTAGTTTGGTATTAATGGAACGTCTCTGGGATTTGGGAGCAGGCTGGGCTTTTTTTGTTTGTCTGGTTTTCTTTGGAGCAGCCACGACAGAGCATCGAGTCCGAGGCCTGCGCATGTGAGATGGTGGCTCACGACTTTTTGTCTTTTTGCATGGCTTCTGAGAAGTTTGTGTCGTTACAGCCATGGCCGCAGCTCTCTGGCGTTTCCGACGCAAGCGGCGACTCTTCCTGAGGGGAGCGTTCTCCAGTTCCTCCTGTAGCTGCCTCTTTAAAGACCGCCTCCTCTCTCTGGCCTCCCGTTTTTGTTCCTCTTCTTCCTCTCTCTTTCTCTCTTCTTCCTCTCGCCACTTTCCACATTCAGTCAAGCCAAACCAGAGGCGAAAAATACGACCCATGAGTACCCTTCGGCGATGCCACAGTGCGGTAAACATTCGGTCCTCGTCCCTCAGCTGCAGTTCACTGGCACCACATGGCATGAGGGCATCTGGTGCAGCGCTAGCAGAGCGGAGAGTACGCCCACTGCGAGTCGTGACCTCATAACGCTGACTCTGGATGGCGCTGAGTGTGCTGCGGAGCAGCTTGAGGTCTCCTGTGGCATTGTCATTCAGGACGTAGTCGTCACACAGGTAGCAAAAAACATACAGCTCATTAACCTCCATTGCCAGCGGGTGGCGCTGCAGCTGGAAGTGCTGCAGGGCGTGTTCTTCGATGTAGCGGCCGCACGCCACATGCGCACAGCCCAGACAGGCCCATACGGACTCGGTGGTGTTGCAGTCGACGCAGTGCCACTTCTGAGGGTTGAGGATGGAGTGGTCCGGGGCCAGGCGCAGCCGCCCCACATGCTTACACCTGTCCATGTCACACACCTGCCGGACAAGCTGGCTGGCTCTGTCAGCCGATAACTGACAGTATGTGCACAAGGCTGAGTGTGTGTGTGTCCACAGTTCACACTGGCTTTATATCACCATGGCAACCATAGCGAGCAGAAAAATTCAACCCTCCCAGGTCATTGTTGCGTCGTCTGCAAAGGAGAGAAAAGATTGTGTTGGAGAAGATAAAATTGTAAAACAAAAGAAGTAAAGAACTCTGAAGTGGGCCGGTTTTATCACTGCGGTGAAAATGTACTGTGGGAAAGCACAACCAGCAGCAGCGTTTTCTCAAGGCCACTATGTCTAACCCCCACAGTGTTTTATGAGGCCACAGCTACAAACAGTAAACTAACTGATAAGTAATCTACAACATTTCCCAACAGCAACTGGCTTAAGAATAAAAGTAAACAAGACTATTTTGTAGATTCCTCAAATATCCCTCATATTTCACTCATGGTCTCTAGTATGAATTAATATCTTTTAAGGTTGGGGTGGGGGACACCGGTGCACCATTTCCAGGAACTAGAAGTGAGCCACATCACAGCTGAGCTTCAGACAGCAGGTTTACGAGTCTTTTTACCTGATACTTGGACAACTCCCACCAGATTGGATAAAAGAACGTGACTCTACCACTGACTTGCAACGTTCATGTTTTTTCTCCACAAATACAAGTTGGAAGGAGTTCTTCTGCCATGATGTGAAGTTGCTAATGGTTAGCTTCTGCTAGCAAGACATTCTCTGCTGGTCTCTGGACAGTAAACCACCAACAGCCTTCCCCATTGTGAGTCAAGATGGATGAGTCTGTGAGTGCTTTAGTGACAGGGTGACGTAGATCTGTCAAGATTTTCAAATCCTAGAGTTTCACTGTCTGTTTTCTATCAGAAGCTAATGCAGGAGATAGGTGTAGGAGACTATTTTCATTTTCAGCCTGCATGAAACACTCAAAAGTGACAAAATTAAGGTTTAAAAGATGCTTTTTCGTGTTCCACAACTTTAAAGAGCAAGTCACCCCCTACCAGACTATTATTACTCCACTCCCACTTTCTTTTTGAAAAATGCTAAACAAAGTGTTGCCTGGCGGATAAATACACACACAGAGACACACAAAATTTTGACATCATAATGTATCAGTTAACTTTATAGTGTACCTCTTAGCCACTAGCTAAGATTTAAATTCCAATACAGTGCAGTTTTTACCTGAAGAGGGTGCAACACTGACAGTTTTAGGCAGAATATTTAAATTTTAACTTAAGCATGAGGCACGCTGGAGGCGGATGCGCCGTGCCCGAGATTTTGAGCAGTCAAGTGGACACACGGGATGCGCCATGCTGCTGAGCACTTGATGGAAAGTCGCACAATAATCACAACATCACACGGGATGCGGGAAGTGACTCTTTTGTATACAATATCAGACTTGCCGCTGTTTTGTGAGACTCAAATTCATTAAAAATGGATAAGTACGCTATTTATTTGACTATTTTAAGATCAACATCACTTTAAAGTGATCAAACTGGAGCTGGGTTTGTGGTGTAAAGTCGTTCTGCGTCGTAATGTTTGTTGTAAAGTACTCCACAATGTTGTTAACAGCCGCGGCACGGTGGCGCTTGAGATAGAACTGACACCTATCTTCAGCACCTCGGTGAGGTGCTTCTGGGAAGCGGTGCTCCCCGTGTGCCCAACCTCATTGAGTGCGTTTACATGCAGCCAGTAACCCTTTTAAAACCCGAATATTCACAATAACCCGGTTCCGCAGGTCCTTGTAAACACCGCCAGAAACCCGGATATGCTCATAACCGGGTTTTTAAAAACCCGGTTACTACACCTGGGGTAACCCTTTTCTAACCCGAATGTTTGGTCGTGTAAACGCATACCGGGATATCCCCATCAAAGTGTGTGTTCTGCACATGCTCTGTTCGCATGGAATCTTGGTCTTTTGAGTAGCGAGACGTCTTGTATGCGCCAGAACACCGGAAGTAAACAACAAGTTGGGAGCAACATGGCGAGTCGCGGCACAGCACCACACTTTTGGAGTGAGGAAGAAACTAAAGCGCAAACAAACGCGGTCGCTATCTCTTCCGAACTGGGAAACATGTTGTTGTTTTCACGGATACCGGAACAAGAAGAACCGGAAATGACGCATATTGCGTCTGGACGTAGTCCATACGTCCTGACGCTACCCCAACGTCCGCAGTTCAATCGGGTTATGCAAGTTAGAGGTAACTCTTTCTATTTGTGCTTATAAACGGGTTATTCTGATCAACTCAGAAACCCGAATACCGACCTTAACCCGATCATAACCCGGATATTGGCTGCATGTAAACGTAGTCACAAACTACAATGGCTTGTATTTAAAATGACAGCGCGGGCGGGACACGCTCCAGTGTGCCCAAGGCTTAAGATGCACAAAAGTGCCACATTATTGACTACACTTGCCTTCAGCACAATTATATAGTTTAACGGATAAAAAGTTGATTTGGAGGTGACTTGCCATCATCCAGCTGCTTCAACTAACCCACTGTCATCTGGACAAAGCAGGCAGCACTGTGAGGGTCACGTTCTTTGATTTCTCCAGTGCATTTAACACAATCCAGCCTGATGTACTTTGCCAGAAACTCCAGAAGACACAGGTGGGGGCCTCAACTATCGCCTGGATTAAAGACTACCTGACAAACAGACCACAGTTTGTGAGGCTGAAGAACTGCACATCAAACCAGGCGATCAGTAACATTGGAGCACCACAGGGGACTGTACTCTCACCATTCCTTTTCACCCTGTACACCTCAGACTTCCAGTGCAAATCAGAGACCTGTCATCTACAGAAATACCCAGATGACTCTGCAGTTGTCGGGTGTATCAGAGATGGACAGGAAGCTGAGTACAGAGAGCTGGTGGAGCGCGTTGTGGCATGGTGTGGAAACAATCATCTGACCTTGAACGTGAACAAAACAAAGGAGATGATTTTAGACTTCAGAAGAAACAGGGTGGAGTCAAACACTGTTTCCATCATGGGAGAAGAAGTGGAGGTGGTTGAGGAATACAGATACCTTGGAGTTCACCTGGACAACAGACTGGACTGGAGAAAGAACAGCGAAGCCGTTTACAAGAAGGGACACAGCAGACTGCACTTCTTGAGGACGCTTAGGTCCTTCAATGTCTGTAGCAAGATGCTGCAGATCTTCTACAAGTAATCTCTTCAGCCATCGTCTGTTGGGGTAGCAGCATCAGAAGCAGGGACCTGAAAAGGCTCAACAGCCCAATAAAAAGGCTGGTTCTGTTCTGGGGACGACTGTGGAACCACTGGAGGAGATAATGCAAAGAAGGTTCTCCAGAGAATCAAGAAAATGATGGACAACCCTGAGCATTCTCTTCACAAGACTGTCCGACAACGGAAGAGTGTCTTCAGTCAGAGGCTTCTTCAGTTTGGCTGCAACACTGACCGCTACTGGAGATCCTTCCTGCCAACAGCCATTGTAATATACAACAACTCTTTGATGACTTGATTATTATTATTATTCTGAGCTACTACAGCAATCAATTTCCCTCTGGGATTAATAAAGTATTTTTGAATTGAACTTGCTCTTAAAGCAACCTAATAAAATACCAAACTTTGTGAACACATCATAAAAGGTTAAAGCTGTGGTTCCCCAGTCTTGCTCATATCCTACTTGGTTTATCTGAACACCTCCACCAAATTGTTTATCTCAGTAAATTATACTAGATTTAAAGGACAAACACTGGGAAAGTGTAACGCAACTTTGATTTTCTTCCTTCCTCTCATTCTATCACAGCCTGATGTCTGTGTCTGGCTCTGCTTTAAGCCTGATTTCTACTTCTCCGTCTGCATCGGTGCGGAGACACGCAACACCATTATGCGTCAGCGCAAGGGCTCTCCGACGGGCTCACAGAGGGTGACGGAGACATGCCCAAAATTTTAAACATCTGTCGAAAGTGACGGAGATCGCAAGCTTGTGATTGGTAAGGACACCGCTTCCTGTATATTCGTCACCAGCACTGCTGTAGCTCCGTTAAAAAGTAAAACAGATATTTAGCAGCAGACCCCAAACAGACTGAAGAAAGCATCACGGAAAAAGTCCAAAAATATTAACATTTATTCACCCGTGAGTGAAAGAGTACAAAATATGGAGCAAACATGGACATAAACTGTGGGAAATGTGGGTTTAGAGGTGGCGACCCATGAAGAGATGGATGAGAATGAAGGACAAATTTGTTAGTAAATACACTATCGTGGACCGGATTCATAAGTGTTATGATGGCACGATACCACAGAACAGCGCAACACCCTCTGTTGTCCTGGCGGGGAATTGCTTTGCAACACTCCGCTGCCTAAACAGAAGTTCGAATGTGAAAACTTTTCTGACACTCCATGTGCGTCTCTCCGTTGCGGATTTCATGGAGAAGTATAAATCAGGCTTTAGTTTTAACAGCACTGATATGCTGCTTTAAATATGAAATTGTTGGTAGTACTTTTCTAAATATGCTATAAACCACACAGTCATTAAATGACACCCGCCACCCTAATATCAGGTCAACCTCATCGCGCAGGGAATTTTAAAAACTAAATACCTAGGGCTTTTTTAAAATGTGAAATCTTTAGTATAGAAGGCGTGCTACTTAATTGTGGTAACAAGATTCATTAAGCTGATGTAAAAGCAATAGTAAATCACATTTCAGCTGTCATTCAAAACCGATTCTGTGAAACAGATTAAACTTCAAATATAATCTCAAAATCATTTAATATCGAACTAATGTTCGTTTTCATAACTGAACAGTACTGCTCAAAATAACGATTAGTCAAAGCTGCAGTTCCGCTACAGAACATTCACTGATTTGTGTAGTTGAGAGTGGTCTAATAATTGAGCATATTGGTGATTCTTGATCCTGAGTTTCTGATGTAGATCAGGATTTATGAGCAAGTCTGCGCGCTTTCCCCAGTAATATTTCCAGCTGCATGCACTGAAACTTCCCCTCGTCTTTACAATAACTCAAACAATTAACGATTACACAGCCGGTAAGTCAAGTGAACCAACAACAGGATCAAACCAGCAAAACAACAAACCCTTATTAACCGAAGAACTTACGAATAGTTGCTTCCTAATAGCTAGCGTTAGTTAGCTAACGCTAACATTAAAGCTTTGAGTATTAAAATAGTAAATCGCTAAATAAACGTGCCGGTTCCTTCAAAATCGTAATAAATAAGTTGAACATTGATACATGTCCCAAATGGGCATGTCTAGTTCACACTGTTTGTATCGTTAAGTTTGTGTTTACGCTAACAAATAAGTGATCCATGGCTGTCCTTGTAGCTAAAATTAGCCTAGCCCGCTAACTAGCATTAGCCAACCTGGCTACGCTCCCAGCAAGTTCACGTTTTAGCCACAGGTCATGTCACAGTGTTGGTCACGTTTCTAGCATTCGGCCCCGGTTTGTGTTTCAAACAAGAGAAACTGGCTTATAAGAATGTGAAGTACACGTTATTATAAAAACAGAGCATACCGAGGCTCTCCTTGCAGTTATTCCCCTGTTTCTAAAATGATCGCCATCTTGTCAGTCCTTGTCGCGTGGTGCAGCTCGCGCACATCCGTGCTGTGTGACGTTGTTGTTGTTTACATTGATTAAGCTTCATAACATTTTTAAAATACAGGAAAATTTCATTCAATTTTTCATTATAAATCTATGATTCCGGTGTATGTCTGTGTCAACTATTTTAATTAAGGATAAAAAATACAATTTAGGTTTTTTTGCTCATTGATCATACTTAATGCAGCTGCTGCCGCTAAAGATAGTAGATACACCAACATAATGTTGAGTGGTTGTAAATCTTGCATACATACCAATTATTTATTCAGTAATAAAGATTTTGTTAGTTTACTAAAACGGATTTAAGTGACTTATATTAGTAAATCTTGTCTAGAAAAGGGCCACAGAAAAGGAAAACATCACCACGAGTTTATACCAGTTATTTTAATGGCATTAATGCGTGCTCATTCACAAAATTCAGGTAGGGCCATGGTTAGGGCTGAGTAAAATTACAGCACTGTAATTATGACAGAACAGAAGAAGTACCATTTAATCCACTAGAGGGAGATGCTGCGTTATTCACAACTAATTTAACTTATATATATATATATATATATATATATATATATATATATATATATATATATAAACGCAGCTGTACATGAAGAGACAGGAAATGTTTTAGCCATGCACAGAAAAAACTTGTTATCCATTTTAACAGTAGCCTATTCTGCCAAGTCTTTGAGCCATTTGTCTTTTCTTAATGTTTTGCCTTTCTTGTGTGGTTTTACTTGAGCATTACCTCTCAAATATTTATGAATGTTTGTTCAAAAGTGGCTTTTTAAAAATATTATTTGTGGTTTAGCATAAATCTACAGCTGTCTCTCAATGGATGCTCAAAAGAGAAACTGGATACACTCTGGACAAAAGCTTAAAAAGCAAGTCACCCCCAACTCAACTTGTTTTTTTAATGATAAACTATATAAATGAACATCTAATTGGGCTGTAGACACGTATAGTCAATTATTTGGCACTTTAGTGCATCTTAGTTAAAATTTAAATATTCTACCTAAAACTGTCAGTGTTGTGCCATCTTCAGGTAAAAACATTTCAATTTAAATCTGCCATCGCTATTAGCTGAGGTACATTACGGTTGTTTCTCAATGCCAAGGAACCTTGCCTTGATGTCTTGGTCCCACCGTGGTTGCCTAGGAGATATGTCATCAGGAACCGCCAAGGAGTGTTCCAGTGTTCATGTTCTACCTTTGTTAGCCATTTAGCTAGCTGAGCAAGGATACACGAGAGCAGGGCCAGATTAACACTTTGTTGTACCCTGGGCAACAATATTCAAGGGCCCCGTCATCACAACCCGAGGATCACCATAATATGGTCACATACAGAATATTTAACTTTAATATGCAGTAAATATACTCAATACTTGAATGCCTGACATCACGTAACCCGCTCAGGGTAACCTTTGACCCACCTCGTGTGGACTGACCAATGAGGTGAGGGTCTTAACTTGAGGCCCTCTCTTCTTTGGTCCGTCTGCATGAGACTGACTCTCAACTGACGTTCAAAGTCATAGGCAGCAAAGCCCGGGTGGACAGTTTGTTTAATGTAGGGTGATCATATTTCCATTTCCAAACAAGAGGACAGGGGATCTGTGCCTATGACGTCACACTATGGCAACGCCACACAAACCACGCTGGGACCCATTTTTTTGTAAGAACTAAATTAATATCAGATTCTGCCAATAAAAGGGCTCCAAAACAATTCATATGTAAATATTTAGCATATTTATTGCAAAATCTCATTTTTCTGCTTTAGTGCTGCAACAAGGTTTTATTAATAATAAATTATTATACCTTTTGTTTTACTACAGCATCGGTACGCTTCCTGTGCACAGATTATTAAGGATGCTTGTTTCAGCTGTGAGATTAGACGATAGGATCAATGATAAAACAAGTTGTCACACACTCCATGGAAACTTTCAGAGAATCCACAAATAGTGGCTTTCAAATGGTTTTGTTACTTTTTGCAAGTTTAGAAAAGCAGCAGATGAGACAGCATGTCTGATAATTTAGTTTTTCATCTGATAATATTAGAACATGTCAGCGACGTCTGAGGGGCTTTTATAAACACTGTATAACTAACACTACTGGAGAGGGTATGAATTACATAGAGGCTTCTGGGGAGCCCAGTTAGGGTGGGGGGGGGGTGGGGGGGGGGGCGGGGTGTCATTTTGCCTTGGCCCCCAAAATGCCTTGAAACGGCCCTGGGTGTGTGACTGAGTGTTGAAGGTGATCTGAGTTGTATCAGATGTATAAATATTACATGTGTATAACTTATTGTTTTATACAGGCAAAAACGTGTAGTGGAGATAAATCTGCCTACATTTTACTTTGTTTTCTTGTTTTTATTTAACTATTTTCCTGTCCTGTCTTGTCTCTCATCTTCCTGCATCTCCTCTAAACTCTCCAGAAAATCTGTTGCCTGGATTCTTACTTTTTCACCTCATCAGTTACTTCTGAGCAGATCAAAGGGATCTCCTGACCGCAAAGCGGAGAGCGCGTTTCGATGCTGCGTCGGTGAGTTGACATCACCGCAGCACAGGTGATGAGCTCCGCAGTTGCAGAGCGCTTCAGGCACAGATAAGACAGAAAGTAGAGAACATGTGCGGACATGAACGATCGTGTGTTAATTATAGTTTTTTGGTTGCGCCACTTTGAGAATGGACCGTGCGCTGGAAGCAGCAGCCTGGAGCGCTGCGCAACAACGATCATCGCTGTGCCGTTCTCTGTGCTCTCTGCTCAAAAGAGTCCATAAATGATGTAATATAGGTAGAAAACTTTTTTCCAGCTCCCCTGGATGTGTAGGATATACAGCTCCCCCATAATTCGATCCCTGCTCCTGGATGAAAAGCCGGACATTTTCATCAATACAAGAACCCCCAGTCCGGGGAAAAGAGGATGTACGGTCACCCTAGTTTAATATAAAGTAGGAGATTACAGATACAGTATTTTGCTCGTACCCTTGCTGCCCTGGGCCTGGGCCCTTTAGAGTTTGTGGGCCCCTGGGCAATTGCCCAGTTGCCCATATGGTTAATCCGGCCTTGCAAGGGAGGTGTCTTGTAGCCTAGCCTTGGTCAAAAATTTCCCAGAATACACCACGGTATTCTCAAAAGGAGATCAGAAGTCGGCAGCTACTTCGGGGGCAAATTTCAAGTTTAAGTCAACTAATTTAAAATGTTTTTTTTTTTAGATCAAAAGAAGTTATCTTTGGTTGGTTAGTTAGCTCATTAGTTGCAGCTTTGGCAGCTAGCAGGTAGTAACTCGCTTACACATTTAATTTAACAAATATATACACAATTTAAAAAGTAAAAGGCTCGTTATATATTCATATTGAAACTTATATGTTTAAAATATAACGTTATCTCCCGTGTCACGTGACGTTATGCAAGTCTGTTCCATTTAACCGTTTTCTTTGACCAAGGAAGGACAGTGTCGTCGTAAGCAAGGCGCCTTGATATTGAGAAAAAACCCATGACATTAGCTGGTACATTATGATGTCACAAAGTCGTTGTGAGCCTGTGTGTGTGTGTGTGTGTGTGTGTGTGTGTGTGTGTGTGTGTGTGTGTGTGTGTGTGTGTGTGTGTGTGTGTGTGTGTATTCGTTAGTGGCTCCACCCTATTGGTCTGCCAGGCAACAGCATTTGTTGCATTTTTCAAACAGGAAGTTGGAGTGGATTGTGGCCATTTCTCAATGCTCAAGGGTGCTAGTACGTTCTTGTGTACTAGACAAGTATGTACTTCACAAGGGCAGCAGAAAGTCTGTTCTACCGAGTACGGGAGGTCGAGGACGGCATTTGGAACAGATGCGTACTCCGCTGTGTCCTGGCAACAAGCGCTGCTTCTTGCTACAGTTAATAAAATGACCTGACATAAAAATAAAAGTCTAGTTCTTTCATTATATAACAAAATAATAACAAACATGTATTATTTGTATTTGTTTGGCCCACTTTTATCAGAAAGGTTAAAATACTAGCATTTTTCACTCTTTAATGAATAAAATAAATTTATTTTTCATCAGAAGAGAGCTACGGTGCTTTTATTTTGGTAGTGGGTTAGCTCATTAGCATTTTGAACATTCGTGAAGAGTAAAACCTAAACACACAGAGCAAAATTTAGTTTACACAGGATTATTTACAATAACAGACAACTTTATATTATTTTATTTATATTTCTAATTTAAAACATTATAGTTATTAGCTTTCTCCTTTGTTTAACGGTCTGCAAGGCAATGCATTATGGGAAACTTTGCTGTCCCAAGTCCGCATAAGGGTGCACTGATGCATCATTGATACAATAGGTGGAGCATGAACACATCCAGGAACTTTGAGCGAATTTGCCGTTATGCATACTTAGTACTGGAACAGTCCTTGGGCCATTGTTGATGACGTTTCACAGTGACGTGAGTACACAAGTTCAGACAAGTATGCATATCAAATACAGGCCATTTACCATTTGCATATTGAGAAACAGCCTAACCCCAACTTTCCACAGGAGTCGTCAGCAGCACGTTACTGCAGCAGCACGTCATAGCCGCTGATAGGAACCTCTGTGGTCAACAGAACCTTTTCCACCGGAGCCGTCAGCAGCGCGAGTCGGCCGCGTCTCAGGAGCAGCATGTCGCGGCCTTTACGCGCCGGTTCTATTTTCTACGCGCGACGCCTCTGAAACGGGTCAAGTTCGACATTTTTGGGGAAGGAAAGACAGGAAATCGGACGCGGAAATGGAGCAAAGCTCCCGAGATTTTCAGAATAAAGAACGTACTGCCTTCCGGTTGCTTTACTTTTAAAAAAAGTTACTAACTGTGCGGCTCCGTGAGAAGTTATCACCTAGCTAGCGGTCTCCTTTGTTTTTCAGGTCCGTATTGGCGATTATAAAACGGACAGAACATAAAACACAAACCATGTTGTAGTTTTCTCCTGCTTCTTGTTGTGTTTACTGACGAAGTCACTCGTGTGACTTCGTGCTCGGTCGGTGACAGCTGCTCCCCTGCTGCA